TCTACTACTAAGTTAGCATAAATGCCATAAAACATCTGCCTATTTTGAGTGTTTAGCTAGCTATTGTTACTACTGAAATGAGTCATGTCTCTAATATATTCATTCACACACTACTATAAGAGTGGAAATTATTTTATTCCCTTTTTTCTTGCTGTGCAAAAGCTATGTAACCTGCCCAAGGTCGCAGAGAAAGTCTCTTTTGCTCTCTCCTCCCTGTATCCCACAAAACCCAAAATGAAACTCTACTGATAAATACTGGAGACAGCAGCACCCCCTCTGCTCCTCCTACTCTCTGTCAGTGGGGCCGTCAGCTCTTTGGGGGGACTGAAATCTTGGCTCAATACAAAGGACATGTGGGTGCTATCTCACTGTAATCTCTGAGTCAGATATATGAGCTAATCACGCCTTTTGCCCTTGCACTCTTTGAAACTATGAGCTCAAGATGCTAACAGTCCGGGAGCATCACATCCTGACTGCCTGGTCCTGCACACTGAATGCTGACAACTTAAAACAATGGTGATTAAAAATATATTCGTACAGAAAAACAGTACTTTTGCTACTACGTGCCAGGCTTAAATGAAACACATTTGCCTTTGCCTCCCTTCACAAATAATCTTGGTTGCACATCTCTTTTACAGTTATGAACAATTTTCTGAGATGACTGACAACGGAGGTAACTGACATGTAATGTGAGTCTTCCCACTGTTATGCATTCTAGACGTGCAGCTGAATAAAATCCAGCTCAGTCAGACATAAAATCAAATTAGAGTAGTTCACTCTGAAGAGAAAGAACTAAATTTGAAACAAATAAAGCAGTGCATAATTCACTTTTAATGGGATAAGTTTCTAAAACCACACTAATCATAATCCTAACAAGGTAATCCATTACATTGTGAGTTTACCACATCCCTGTTCAGTATGCGGTAGAGCTTCAGGCACATGGGGGATTTGCCCCACATGCAAAGTGAGCAAGTATATATTTTTTTTTTGCAGCTGGAATTTGGTCAGCAGAGCACCTCTGTTTATTACTAATTATACCTTATGGGCATACAACACGTTTTGTTCATATCACATGTTCCCAAATATCTTCACCCCCCATTGAAATTCCTCGGCTACCACAGAGTGTATTTCTCCACAAAGTCTGGCAGTATTAATCAACAGCTTAGAAAAAGAACCAAAAAAATGCTGTATCTTAACTGCACAGATTCAGAAGGAAGGTAATGATTCAAACATGGAAGTTGGATAACCCTGGAGTAACATTTCCTGTGTGTGGCAAAAATGCCTTTGCATTCTTATTGACCGTAAGTATTCAAGACCTTGGGTCTGGATCTGATTTTTAAGACAGCATTTTTCATCAGCACAGCAGCTCACAACTGTGAGAACGCCTGAGTTAAAGGAGAAAGTATGACTGCCTGCTTTGCAGCTACCCTTCAAAGTCTCAGGCTGTCCACACTTATTTGGTGTATGAGAGCTGATAGGTTATAACCTAAGATGCTGTGGCTACAGGGCACAGATAAATCAGAAACAAGTAAAGAGTTTAATAGTTTCTGTAACATGGGATATCTTTCTATCCTTTATTAAAGTGTTCAACTCTGAAAAGTCATTCTAAAAGACCAACATTCGGCATGTTGCATATTCAATACCTCTCAGATAATGTCTGACACAAAAAATGTGCCCTGCTGACATGTTAAAAGATATTTTTGTATGGGATTTTAGAGTCAAGCTGGGTTCTTTCTGTACTGTCAGCAATCAAAATTTTCTGACTGAAACATAGTGAATCTTTTAATCACATAGCAGGGATTGTAGCAAGCTTTTCCAGCTGCATCATTTCTAAAGAAAGAACTAACAGGTGAGAAATACTGAAAAACCTAATAAAAAGGATATGATCAAATACACATCAGGAGCAGGTAAAGTAAGCAGATGCTTTTCTACATGAATCTCTATACTGCAATCCTTCGCAAAAAATTTCCATTTATATATCCAGCTCATCCTGAAACATTGTTCCCTGCATAAACCAGCTTTATTTAAAAGACCATTAACAAAACAAAAAAAGTCAGGAGACAGAACTACAGTGTACACAATACAAATGGAATTATTTTTTCTTTATACAAACATTACAGCTCTGCATGAGGATGCAACAAGGTGAATACCCTATAAATCAAACTGCAGGTTGCTGACACTGGGCTCAACCATTATCAGACATGGGTTATTTCTAAATTCCAAGGGTGTTTTTAATACTCAATATTGAACCCAGACAGGTTTTTGAACTCCATTTTATTACTACATTTTGATGTGAGGGAATTTAAGTTACATCATATGCATACACAGAAATCATAGACACAGGCACCCGAAAGCTTCACCTTCAACAAATATCCTATTTGCCAGCATGATGGCCACACACACATAAAAATGGTTACGTATGGCAAGCAAGAGATTAAGATCATTTTAAAGCAGATACATGCAATTGCTATGCCCTCGTCATAGGGCAAGATGTGGATTAAGACGGCTCAGAGTGAGGAGGTGCGATTCTGCAAGCAAACTCAATATGGGAAAGCAGTTCTCTGAGCTAGGAAGTTCATGTCCCTCAGCTCCTACAGTCTCTGGCTCTAAATACAGGGGATGTTACACCAACTCTGCACAGGCCAAGTCATCAGCAACTTCCCTACCCCTGCAAATGAGCAGAGACTGAACTGAACTGAGCTAACTTCAAGGAGAGACCTATAAAAAAACAGATACTGAATGCCTTTAAACATGAGAGGAGTTAAAAAAGGGGGGCAGGGTGGGAATAAGAAAGTAATTATTAGACCTTATGGAGGAGCAATGCCTTATACACTGACTGTTGTATAGACCACAAAACAAACTCACTAGCCAAAATAAATTATATTGATGGGACAAAAATTGAAAATTCCAGAAATAGCAGCTAAATTGCTGCATTTTCCCACAATCCTAAATTTCAGTCAGGATCACACCCTACACTGTCTATTGAATAAGGAAACACTGCCCAGAAGGAGGTCTGGTGAAGCAACCCTCCTGCCGTGTACAGCTCAGCTCCCTCTGGAAAGTTAACATTACTGCTCTCCATTCATTTCCTGCTGCTGGAGGTGCTGGAGCATGATAGCATCAGATTCATAAGCTATTAGTGAGCATTTTGCCTTGGTGAGCATCAGAGTATCACTTTACAAAACAGATATTATCATAATACCAAGGAAAACCTGTCCAAAGAGTAATAAAATTACTTGTACAAGGTTATCCAGGCATAGCAGAAGAAGCCTAGCTAGGTCACTTAACCTGCAGCTCCTAAACCAACGACCTATCCAGTAGGAAACCCCTTTAAGGAAATGAGCTGGGGGATCCAGCTCCATCTATGGTTACCTTTCCTTACCTGCACCCTGCTACAAAAAAAAAACCCTATCTCAGTCATTGTGGAGGACTCAAAAACACTGTGGCAAAACAGAAAAGAGATCAGAAATGTTGATCATAAAGCCCTAAACAGAATGTTGAGCATGGTATTTTGGCCTTCTCTTTACTATCAGTCACTCTAAGGGAGACCTTCATTTCAGCATTGTTGCACAGGAAATCGGTGCCTGCTAAGGAATTCATTAACAATTCTAGCTGTAACTATTAAATTTCATGGTGCCAAACTCTGACTTAATTCTAGGAAAACAGAGAAAAACAAAACAAACAAAAAAAAAAGAATAGTAGAGTTGCCACAGAAAGATTGCTGCATAGACAGATTGTGCCAATGACTAGTATAGTAAGAGGCTCAGGTACCTATCATTTCAAAGATTTTCTTGGGCAGGCAATTTAATACTTCTTCATCTCAGTTCTTCATTTCTAAATAAGGACAATAACTAAATTGAAGCACACTAAGGATAAGGCAAGATACGCAATACAGACTACATAAAAATCTAACAGAACTGGATTTGTGCATGGGTATAACAGTAAATTTGAAGCTATTTTTGCTGCATTTTGTTTAAGCCTACAAACTATTTCACTGACAGCATTTCAGTGTGTAGCAGTGCTATGCAGCAAAGATTAAATTTTTCCAAGAAAAGGCATAATACACCATACATTACCTTCAAGCAAAATTGCAGATCCATTTTTTCCTACAAAACAATAAAGAAAGAGAGACAAACCCAGGCTTGATAACATCTGCTGAGCTGCTTCTCAAAACAGAGGGAGATTCAGGTCACATTTGACTCTTCATTGAGCAACACCCAACATAGGCTTCATTAGGGTATTAAAGACTGAGATGTTAAAATCATACCTAGAGGTGGCAAACTGTAGCTATCCCTACAGTCATTAGGGGAAAGGAGATAAATTTCACAGTTTTACACCTATGTTGAAGCCCAAAGGTGGTCCTTTTTTTGTCATATTTGATAGCAAGGTTTGTACTACAGGAATATAGTCTCTCCTTGATTCTACAACATAAATCTCACTGGTAGCACTGGGGTTAGGGGACATCAGACACAGTTAAAAAGATAAACTATCACAAAACTATTTTTTGGCAAAGTTCAGCATGAAGACCTTGAAGACAAACATGGCCCATTCAGCAGCATATCTAAATCACACAAAGTCGGTAGTATCACTTCTGCCAAAAGCCAAGCTCCACACAAATGTTATCAAGCAAGGATTTTCCTTCATGTTCCAGTCATAACAGGCATGTTCAAAAGGACAGAAAAGCTTTTCCAAAGGTCTAACACTGACTTGAAGACTAATCTATTACATGAATAAAGTAATCTTTTTTTTTTTCCTGTTTTTTTTTTCCCCTCAGAGTTGTCCAGGTAACAGTAACCAGACTATAAAAATCAGCTAATCAGATGCTATTTGTTCTCTTTCAGTGAGTCAGTGCTGCCATCTAAAGCTACCTAAAAGGCATGCAAAAGAAATTCAAAGTCACGCATCTAAATAACATTCAGGAAGCACATCTAAGTAGGCAGAGAATGCAGGGTAAGTCGAATGTGTTAATAAGATACAACAAAACAGTGATGCTGCAGTACCTGAAGGAGTAATTCTTTCTCTATCACTTCACCTGTCTTGGTGATAAGCTGCTTCTGTAGTCTTTGTATTTTCTTAATCAGCTCATAGGTACTTGGGTCACTGGCCTAGACAAGAGCAAAGCAGTCTCAAAAATTATAAATTATAATAACAATAAATAACAAGTTATTTTTTCTCTCTTGGAAATTAAAACCATAATATCTAAGTGTTCAAAAGTGACAAATATGAAAGGCAGAGGGCAGTGCTGATTATTTTTTTAAATGACAAGTATACAAGCAGTCCTGAAACTGGAATCTCTGCATCTTGAAGATCAGTTGGAGCATATTTATGTTTAACACTGTTACCCTCCTGAAACCTCCTCAAAACATCCAATAATAATAAATAATTCCAGAAGGAAAAGCCAGCAAAGCTTACTTTCCCACCACTTTGTATCTTCTTGTTGGATCCTTTAATGAAGAGCAAACTCTGAAAGAAGCTTTTCCCCACTCAGGGATTCACAACACCTCTCCCAGGTGGTTTCTCCTTTCTCGTGTGATGTCTCATGAGAATTAAACTCACATTGCAGCAAAGGCTCCAATAAAGTCCTGCTCTCTGTATGTTTGCTTGAGCTTATAAGGAACTTGGTATCTCATGGCTCTTAATCTTTTGTCTGATACTATCTAAATTGACTAATCAATTCAAGTGTAACCAGGACACTAACACAGATACACATGCAGCACTCACAACAGAATATCACCTCCTGAGAAACCAGGCTAAAAAGTAGTTCAGTCCCCATGACCCGCATGGTCCTTGACTGCCCAAACTATATATAGTATACAGCGCTGCCCAAACATGGTGCCAGTTTGGGACAACTGTAGTGATACAAGAGTATTTTTTCATTAGGAACTGAACCAAAACCCTATGAGGATTATTTCACATGGATCTTGACATCTTTTTGTGTTCCAAATACAGACCACTAGCCTAGAATGGAAAGGCATGATTTCCTGTATCAGTCTCTTCATAAGTTCATTTCCCCAGTATGAAATGTTTTGACTGGCCCAATTTTCCTTTGTTACAATGTGCTGGTGGAGACTGTACCTAGATGTCTTTAAGCTACTTCAGCATCCTGCATTTTATCTCCCTTCCATGAGAAAAGCTAAGTGCACCATTCTGCTTTAAGCTCAGCATGAAGAGATCAGAAATGAACTGTCATGCTAGTAAGCACAGCCAAAATACTCAGCTCTGCTTCTGTAGGGACTAGCATGTTACCACTCATTATTAGAGCAGCTAAGCTACCCAGGCTGGCATCAGATCAAAGATCCACACAACAGAGAGGTCTCAGCTGGCACTGACTTCGAAAATACCCAGTCATGCCAATTGATGTTCATATATTCGGTCTGTGCTTGATGGATTCTTTATTTTTCCCCTTCATTTGGCAGGTTCAAATAGTGTGAAATTTAGATTTGCTGTTTACATAACAGCTGAACTCACATTCCCTGGCATGGCTATCTTTGGGAGCCCACCACTGTTATGTGAAGGCCTCTTCATTTTCTCACAGATGTAATTTACCATTTGATTTTTTAACTGGTCATCCTCAATTTGACTCCGTATCTGTTAATTCTATACCTGCATACGCTCCTTTCTAATTCTGGCTTTTTTTTCCCATATACTTCTCCCTAATTGATGAGGGCAGGATTGTATCTTTCTCCTATCATTCTCTTTCTCATCATCCATGTTAAGGAACCACCCCTTTCTAAATTCACCTTATGCATTATTATTTCCTTTAGCATTTGACTGGCTCTTTACCAATCCCTCTGCAATTTTTCATTGAGAAAGTAACACAAAAATAACACTGATTGCATTGTGCAAGGAAACCATTCAGCAGTTAACCATTCTGCTGGTACTATGGAAATTTCAGTCTGCCTGCCCCTCCACATAATTTGCATAACAGTAAACGAAATAGGCTTTGTGCTGTGTCACTGACTTGGCAATATGGGCTTTGGGGACTTGAAATGCTCAAATATTACCTCTAATTTTCTCCATCTGTGAACATTCAAGGGATTCTCCAGTTCTTCTTCCAAAACTTTGCATCGAGTCTGCTCCCTTACTAGTTCTTTCTGCATGTGATGAATCTCCTGTCTAAAGACCAGCATAAAACAGAAAGATAAAAAACACATCAAAGCTACACCAATGTGGCCAAGGCACTAATATGGATGATAACACATCATTCTTCCATGCACTACAGCATGAGCAAAGTGACTTTTGTGATTAATAATCAACACTGATACCACTAAGCAGGTGGAACCATAAGATTACACAGTTAGAGCTCTTCACTCACTTCAGCTAGATTGGATTAAAAAAGGGACTTTTCTTCAGTTCTTAGGGAATCTACCCTACTGGATCTCACTGCCCATCTCTTCCCACATACATTAAGGCCAGAAGGAAAGTTAATTCATCTAGAGTAACCCACAGATCAGTTTTGGAGTCATATCTAGTTAGTCCTGTATTGAATCTAACAGACTGTGTTTGAAAAAAGGTTTGAAATCTACATGGCCCACATAATCCAGTAAATAAAGCACACTCTAGGACCTAACTATCATGGACACTGTTCTTTACAGAATGCAAGTTTGAGTTCTTTCATTACTTCTCCTCAAGGAATTTCAGGGGTGATTTGCTGATTAATTTAAAATTAATTGAGCACTTCCAAAATGCTTTGACAACTAGGCTCTTACTAGGTGAGGATAGGGGATCAAGGTGCAGGGAAAATAAAGGCACATTCTGCAATGGTCCAACCCTTATCACTTTAGTGGGTGGATTCTGTAAGCTCTCCAAGGTGAGAAGGGGGTGGGGGATCAACATGTGCCTACTCTGCAGCTGAATCTTTTCTTACTAAGCACAGAGTTGCATTTAGCTCAGTACAGAGAAAAAGACCTTTTTTTAACTGTGAGATTGGACAAGGTTATGGAGGAGGAAAAAAAACCCCACATCTCCAATTGGCAAATCAAGAAAGCTAATTAGCAACACAAGTGATAAATGGAGTCTTTCAACAGGCAGTTTTCATGATGGTTTTGGACTTCATTAAGTATGTGATTGCTGCTGCAGTTAGCAAGAATTGATCCACCCATCATGGCATGCATCGCACTATACTTCAATACCATCACTGAGTTTCAATACAGTAACAGACTTTCAGCTTGAATGCATCTGGGCAGCAAGTTCAAATCCTGTTCCTGCCTACAGTCAGTCAATGAAAACTGCAATTGCTAATGTTTTGTGCCCAATTCGCTCTTCTTTCTCACCTATTCAAACTGGCAAATTCCACTGGAATCAATGGGACTGACCATGACTGAAGTTAATTTGCTCTACTGAAAGCCATGGAATTGTACCGATACAGTTAAACTAAAGATCTCAGTCAATGCTGCGCTAGCTACATAGAATTAATATGACAGTTACCTACTAAAAACATAGCTGCTCCTCCTTACAAACTAAGACTGATTCTATAGAAAAGGATAATAATTTCCCATCAGCAAAAAATAGACCTTAAATACAGGAGGGTTAATAAGAGAAAGGAAGCATTATGACAGAGAAGGAGGAGATAAATCAGGCTGGGGCTATTAAACTTCTGTTTTAAAGAAACACAACCTTCGATGAAAATTTAACTAAATCTTTCTCAGAGAGCAAGTCTTCATATAAATCTGGAAGAAGAGAGCTGTGAAAATGTGCAGAGGTTTGTTATAAATATGTCAAGTGTTCCCCATCCTCTGCGGATTGCCTCATAAAAAGGAGTTCCACTAATTTGGGCCTTGGGTACCACTAAGTAGCTCACTGAACTATGAACATCTTTTCTGCTGCTGTCTGTCAAGTTTAGTCTTAGGCAGTAACTCACAGTACAAAGGGAAATAGGGAAAATATTACAGCTTTGGCCAAGATCTTTTTTCCTCCTTTCCTCCTTCCTATATTATGATTGTCTTAATTGCTGTTATTTCATGAAGTTAATCCAGTCTGTGTTTGAGGTCAAATCAAACAATTCCCTTCTTCAAGGTATAATGCTGTTGATACAAATCTTTATGATGCATAGAACATATTTCCTGTCTCAAACACAGAATCATGGATGCAGTCACTATAGAAATGCATTAAGTTTTTCTACCTGAGATCCTTCATATTAGCCACACTTTTGCCAAGTATTCCCTTCTCCTGCCTAAGTTTTTTGATCTCCATCCTGAGAAGCTGGATGTCTTCCATTCTCTGATGGTATTGGTTTTCATTCTTGTTTAGAATGGACTGCTGAATTTTAATCTTTTCATACAGGAGAGCCACTTCATCATTGCGCTGAACAAGCTGGGACCCAAGGATGTTTCTCTCATTGACAACCTAAGGACTCAGAGCAAAGCAATAATATCAGGTATAGCTCCTCAGCACAATCCCAAAGGATCATGACTGTATTTGCGTTAGTCAAAATCATGCGCATTAAGAGGTTTCACAGTTACTCGTGAAAGAAATATGGCAAGGGCCCAATAGTTTCCTCTATAAGGATTCACTTGCCTGAGTAGCATAAGCTACATATTCCATTCACTTCAGTATCTTAACATTTTTGTTTCAATGGCACTGTAAAGCTTCTAGTAGTACCACATTTACAGTAGCCGAGGATCTCGATCTTAAAAATACACTGGATAAATGAGAGAATAGAATGCGGAGTTTTTGAAAAGCCAAATCAGAGATTCCTACCCGCTCAATTTCCCTGTTCTTCTTCAGCTTCTCAGCATCAGCTTCAGCAATAATTTTTAGAAGTCTTTTTTCTTCTGCCTCCTGATTTTCCATAAACTTCTTGGTTTCCAGAGCCTGTTTTTTCACCTGAAGCAGTTCAGCCTGATGAAGTCAAAGAATACAGGTAAACTGCACTTAGTATCAACTTCCCGCTACATAAACCAGGGTTCAAAAGTTAGGATCTAATAAAATCTCCTACATTCTTTTAGTTTCCTGAGAGGTACACATTTTTTTTTGTTAGTTTTTGAGAACAAAACATTAACACAGGAAAGCATGAAGATCCCTAAAGAAATGTAAACAGTATTTTAATATTGTTATGTTATAAATAATAAAAATTTGAATGGAATTTTATCTATTACAATGATTCAAGTTGTAGTTCAGGAGCACCTCATTTAATAAATGTTGGTGGTTTTTTTTAATTAAGTAGGTCTTATTTGATAAGCCTTTTAATGGAGCTGATATTTAAAGTTCAAAGTCAGTCAGAGATGTGAGAAATGATAGCCCACCTTGCTGGAAAGGGCAACAATCCTTTTAACAAAGGATTATGTAATACAAATCAGCATCAACCTGAGACAGACTTCAGACTGGAATAACAGAATAAATGGAGAAGATGGCAACCAGGCATGGAACAGCAAAATTAAAGAGCTCTAGCATCTTTTTAGTAGATGTGTAGGTGAGGAAGCTGTCCCTAAGCGCATGGTTACAGTAATTGCATACCACTAACCTAAAATAACGCTGGAATGTGCCCAATAATTCTATCCCACTGTCATGTCTATAATTCAAGGCATGTATGTAGATAAAAACTAATAGGGTCTTCTTGGATTATAGGGAATTTCTATCATTGCTAGGCAATTAGTCAGAGCCAAGATGGAACTAGCTGACTACAGTCTATTTTCACAGATAGATAGGAAAACTTTCAAGCCTTGACTCAAACACTTTGCCACAACTCTGACCCTTATAAAGGATGATGTTCAAGCTGTCTTTTGGAAAAGAGCATCATCCAATGCTGAAAGAATGAGGCTGTGATGAAGGCTGCACCTGCAAAAACAATGATTTAAGACAGAAACAGTTCCATTGTCATAATAAAATAGCTTGTTCCATTCTTATTTTCTTTAAAAAAAAAAAACTCTCATTTTCCCATATGTGCAACACTCACATCTCTCTTACTCAGTGTTAGATGTTCATAAGAATCCATCAGCCGAATAAAAATGCAAGCCACTTCATACTGAAATGCAATCAACACTGTGCAAAAGCTCTCTACAAATGTAAAACTGCTCATGCGTTTGGCATTGCTGGATAATATTTTTTTAATATATCAAAATTCTATAGTCTCCTTATGTCAGAAAAAGTATGAGTTGTAAACAAAGGTGGCATTAGATGTTGGCAGCAAACATTCGTATAAACAAATCTCCTCACTGGAATGCACTAAGTTAAAATAAATCTGAACTGCCTTGTGTAGAAAAGAACATAAACACTTCAAACCACACAAAGGCCCCACAAGCTAACAGGACCTTCAGTTAGACTAAATATGCTAAAAACTAGAGTTAGAGGATCTGTGTACATTAGGTGAGAGAAAAGGAAATGAATTAACATAGTCACTGTGCAAGCAGGAAAACAGGTCTGAAACTGCTGTAAATCAGCAACAGCTCATTTGAAGTTGGTTCATAGAATTTCGAAGACCTGAAGAACAGTCAGCAAGAAAGAAGAATTTATGTGGGACCTATGGCAATATCTCAAGCCAAATTCAAAACAAATTCTTGCTTAGATTCTGAAATACTAGTGTAAGTGAAGAGAGGTTTTGTTTGTTCTAGAGGTGGGAAGAGAATATGGATTTTATAAAAGATGTAACTGGGACTGGACACAGAATGCTGAAATAACAAGTCAGAAGTTTTGCTTGCAGATTTCTAGAAAATGCTAAAAAGAAGTAAAAGACATGCATGAACATCTACAAAAATATACAAAAGCACTTCACTGCAGCTCAAACACGAGGACCATATTTTTTACAGCTTTCAGATAGGCATTTCTCACCATTCAGGTGCTTTGTCAAACCAGTCTGATCCACAAGCCTGTATGAAGGCCAACTGAAACCAAAAGATGGCATTGTACTGGCTTTAATGGAGCTTGGATAAGGCATCTTCTGTTTCATTTACCATGACTATACATTTTTAAGATCTTTATGCTAGCTGAGGCCAGCATAATTCCAATGTCTGTATGATCTCATTCCTATGAAACCCAGTCCTCCATTATTTAGCACATTCTTCAAACTGATCTCCCAGGAACAGCTTGCTTGTTTGCTTCACATCAGTGAGAACAGGACAAATTGAAGCTGCCTTGCTACACAAATAATTGGGTTCTTTCATGCCTGTATCAATCACCTCCCTCTTTGAATTCTCTTCAACTTTAGTATTCAGCAGAGACATTCAGGTAGAAGTACACAGTGCCCTCAAGCCAGTCAGTAGTGTGATGTCAGTGTATGGACATACTTACTAGTGAATAATTGTGTGTGTAAACCATCTAGCAATCCTGTTGTTGTCAAATGGATGGCACCTCTGTCTGAGATGATCAGACAGAACTGGGGACTAGTTAAGGCAGAAAGCTGTACACAGGAAATGAGACACTGTTTGACTTCTCCATCACTGATAGAACAACTCTGAGACAGATCAGGTACAAGAACACAAATTCATCACCTTTTTACAAAGCTCTATTGACATCTTGTCATAACTGTAATGTACTGAGAAGGTCTGAAAACTCAAGGAGTCATTGCAGCATAGCAATAAACTGACAAAAGAAAATATTGTGGAAAGTGGCAGGGGACTTCTGGTTTTGTGGGGGGTTGTTTGTTTCCAGGTTTAAGGTTTTTTTTCCTAGTGCTTAGTGAAGAGAAAAAATAAGCTGCTGTGAACACTAACTCCTTCATTCTTTTGAGAGTGCAGTAAATTGAGTTGAGGTATCACCACAAATCTAACAGCTTATGTAAGGATGGGCTGCAGCCAATGCTGACAAGAACAGAGCTTCAAGCTCAGATTTCCTTTGAATTAAAACAGATTCTTGCTGCTTTATACCACAATATTAAAATAACTTTCTGCACAGAGGGACCTACTAAAATGCACTACCTAACTCCCAGAAGACTAATGCTCGCTAGTCACACAAATACAACATTGTGAAGTATAACATAATGGGTTTTGCACTTAAAAACAGCAGAGAGAAAAAAAGTTTTAAGAAGAAAAACTTGAATTATAAGGGTCTATATTAAAAGTTTGCCAGAATCAAGCTATCCCCAAAACCCACATTTCTGCAAGCAAAATGGAACTTTACAGTAAAACTGTTTAATCACCAAGAGATTTAAAGCTTCCAATTGACAAACCAGGGTGTTTTGGATTGTAATTATAGGCAGAGATTAAATTTGGCAGATACATAGAATATTTGTGTAACTAATGCCTCTAAAGTGCAAAGGATCTTATGCTTCAGTTACAGAATAGTTTATTAAAATACAACAAAACAACTACCACAGACCAGGAACACAACGCAGTCTGTGAAATAATGGCAACCATCCTTTGTAAAAAGGTGTATGTGTAAAGGCTCTTACTTTCAATAATTCCTTCTCCTTCTCTGTTTGCTGATTTTCCAGATGTGCTTTTACAAGGTCATCTTCTTTGGTTTTGATCTCCTGTTTCAGCTGGTCCATCTGATGTATTACAGATTTCAATTTCTTCTTCATTTCTGATACCTCATCCTAATAGGACAAAAAGTGTGAATACAGAGACAGATCAAAAAAAGAGTAAGTTTGTGATGTGAGTTCAGGCTATTTAGATGTTGGAAAACGTAGCCACAGTGCTTGAGAGGAGATGTGTGTACCTCAAGATAATTACTTTTTAATCCAACAGAACAGTTTCATTAAATGATAATTTTTCATTTATGCCAGAATGACACTGCAATAAAAAAGCTTTTAAAAGATACATTGACAAAAATAAGAACCATCAATTATAATAATCTATTTAAAGTGTTGAATATATAATAAGAACTAGCAGTCAATCCAAACTAATAAGATTCTGATCCTCTCCATCTGTTATCATGCTTCTAGTAATGTGCTTTTCAATAATGCTGCATGCAATTGGGCACAAATATTTGGAGAATAGCTGCTCCATTGTGTAAATGAACATAATCATAAGTAAGATACCTATATGCCTGCAAGGGAGTATAGGAAATGCTTATCTCCATTTTGCCTATGTGCTAGCTTGCACATAGCTACAAGGCGGAAAAGGGTGCTCAGAGACTTAGAAGTCCCTGATACGAGAATATTTAGCAAATATTCTAAGCTCAAAACACTGAACAAAAAGTTTGGTAGCATGCAGAGAGATCAGGTCACTAGGAATACTTCCACTCACAGTAGTGCCTGCCTGTACAAAAAAAAAACTTGTTTCAACTCATTGCAGTGATGGCTTATGTTGTAACATGAAATGGAAGCTAATAAATTCAGTGCTTAGGCAGGCATGATTTAGAAGCTATTACTCCTCTTCCAGAGGCTGCCACCTCACAGAGAAGATATCATAACCTTTCATGTGAATATGATCATTCAGTACAAAACCAGGGTACCATAAAGCTCTTTCAACACTGCCCATCACAGGGGTGGATTTACTTGACAGATGAGTGATGTTTTCTTGCATGAAATGCTTAACATAATTAAGCTAGATCTTGAGTCATAGTCTTCACAAAGAGCACACAGAAAGTACTGACTAGACATCCAACAGTCCTCAAAACCAAATCCATGGATTCCACATTTATTTGGGAAATTAAATGAAACAGAAATAAAGGTAGTAATGACAGTAAGCCTACCTGTTTGCATGTCCAGTCACTCCTGTGAATGCGAAAGACATATTAAAAGTTGTTATTGCTAAATAGCTTATAAATATCTTCAGTATTGTAAGAGATGAGAGATACTTAAAACATGGTGCCCAGACATACACACAAATACCCCCTAATTCTATATTCAATGAAGAACAGTAAGAACACACAATTTTTGCAAACAGGTCTCCTAATAAACTCGCTTAAACAAATGAGCTCCTAACACTAAAAGAAATCCCAAGGACAAAAGCATCAGATATTTATCTCATATTAACAGCCTGCCAGAATGTCTTCTTCTAAGAGATTTTACTGAGCTGAACATTATGGAACTGTTAGGATCATCTGTCTTCATGCACAGGACTTGCTAAAAAAGTTCTATGGTAAGCCAAGTAAGCTATTGAAGTCTACAGACCAGCCTCTAACAACTGGAACTGTGAACAGCATTGGTGATATCACCATATAATATTCTAAAACCCCAAAAGGCTTAGTTCATTGCTTTATTTTGTAACTGAGCACATAGATGCCGACTCTTTATAAGTAAGCAAATTTATGTTGTATGTTTAAAAAGAAAATGAAAAAAAATAATAAAAATCTGTGTTGCAATTTTTCACCCTTATTTCTCCTGAGAGATTGTTTGTAAGCAGCAAGAACCCCAACACCATATCTAGTGCTGAGAAGCAGACAAAGGTCAAGTAAATCATCCCACATAAATGGCAAAATGGTTCATTCCTCAGCACACAGTTGGGTAAGAACTCGTATAGTTCATTCCCGTCTGCTTCTCAAGCAAACCACCTACCTATTCAAAGCAGAGTATAAATTTATAATCTACTGTATATGTCTATGTTATAAATCCTTATTCTGAAATAACCCACAGCTATCTGAGGTCCCAATCTCTGATGATTACAATAGGATTTGTGTAGTATTTTAGATTGTTACATCAGAATAACAGACAGTGATCTGTTCTTTTCCTCTAGCATTGTTAGTGAGATCCCCAAGGAAGAGATATGAATGCAGAGAGCATCATTAGCTGAGGAAAATTACACTCCCTGAAAGGAACAAGTGAGGTGGAAGCGTTAAGTTGTGTCAGAAAATATCACTTCAGCTGGGAAAGTTTTCCCTCTGCTTTCTAATCATGATTCACAGTAATGTGCATACACATTCAGGGTTAAGGAGGCAATCTTATTCCCCTTATACCCTATTTCCCATAAATGCAGACACCTCCTAAAGGAATAAACAGAGTGGAGCTAGAATGAAAAGAAAAAATTTCTCCTCTGGTAGGGTTTTGTAATTCCATAGCTCCAGTGTACTGTGATTTTATGCATGGGTTGAAGCAGGGAAATTGCCGTATGATGACTGTGGGTTCCTATTTCCACTCCAAATACAAACTGTTCAGATAACATGTCAGGGACCCAAAATACACAGAAATAAAGAAATCACTTCTGTCATTGATCCAGTGAGCTTTCCTTTTATCAAATTAAAATTAGATCAGGAAAGAAATAGCAAGAGCAGAGAGAAAAACATAAGGAAAAATGTATTATTCTACCTTAGCTTCAATCAGGTTTTTACTGAACAGGTTCTTCTCTGTTCTCATAGCTTCACACTGGCTTTGTTCCTGTTTAAGTTTAATTGTAGACTCTTCTAAATTCTTCTTATAGTCACAGATCTCTATTTCCAGTTTTTCAATATCTTTCAGGTTCTGGAGGACCTGGAGCAGAAAGAAAGTGAACACAATTAAATTGTCATCACAAGGTTACAAGGATGGGGAAGAATTTATGATTTTCTTCTAAGATGACAAGTTCAGACCCCTGTGATAAGAAGTTTTAGCTACAGCTGAAAACCACTTCAGTCCACGTACGAGTTTAACCTTCCTGGATTGCTTACGTGGGACAACATTCTGCTTTAACCTGATACCTAGCTTTTGTTCAAGACTAAAACTTAAAGATGTGCACACATGTAATTTAAAACATGCAATTTAAAAACAAGCCACTGAAAATATTGCTGCTGAGCAGATTCAATAAAATCAATATAAACAGCTTTCATCAAGAATAGTGTTAGGTTATGCACAGAGCAAAGCTAGACTTTGTATGTTGGTTTGCATGTCAGCTGTATGACAAGATGAACAAAACCACACAGGTTTTCCCAAGAAGATCTGCATGTACTCCTATATTCTAACAACTCAACCTTCTTTTAATGAACACATGATCACAAACAGTTGATATATGAACAAAATAATAATAAGAAAGTCAGTTAAGGTAACTTATTCTTGATCTAAATAAGTAGGTAATCACACTTAGTTGCTTCTATGAAGGGTTAGAAATAATATTGTGAAGGTTACCTAAAGAGAATGGAGTATTGTAGACTGTAGAAAGCAGATGATCACATGCAGCATCAGTATGCAAAACCACAAAATTTTATAAACACCTTTACTAGCAGTTACACAACAATTCATAAGGATTACTCTATCAAAGGATCAAAAATGCAAATAGTTGCTAATTGTTATGATGGGCTTCCTAATTGTTTTGGGTTTTTTTTAACATAAGAACCTTCTTCCTGCTGTACAAAGTGGAAAGCCAAGGAGCACAAAAAAAGCAGTATTCAAACAGAATCCAACATTACAAAGAAAGAAAAGTAAAAGAAATAAGAAGAAAACTAAGGAGTACACACATCAAGAACATAATTTTTCAGGTTCATTGCCCACGGGAGAACAGAATGCCACCCTTCATGCTGGGAAAAAGATGAAGCATTAAAAAAAAAGCTGAGGAATCACATAGACAAAATCCAGGGGAGAAGTCCATTTACAACTGCATTTCATACTCAGTTTTCCTGACTCTCATTTTGATGGTAGCAGTTTGAGGTAAGGTTTATGTTCATCTGTCAAAGCAGAAGAATAAAAAAACTAAAAAGACAACAAATAGCCAATAACGGCAAAGTTTGCGGTTGACGGTGTTGTCCCTTGCTTAGCAGTAAATCCTTGTGAGGTGTAACAGCGAGGGATGAGCTTAATTAATTGATCATTCCACCAGGTACCTCCAACCAACTTTGAAGATAGGGGATAGCTAAATATAGAAAATTTAATACAGTGGCAGGAATACAATTCCAGCGTATTTGTAGCTGACTGCAGAGGATCCAAGGAACTGCTTACAGTGCAATACAAAAACACAGTCCCAGTTTATAACTTACTCCTGCCTTTTCCTTTTCTGTTAAAGCAACCTGCCAATAGTAATAGCAGGGAGAAGAAATCAATGAGGCATGTATTCTATCTCCACTATGGTGATCATAGGCTGGAGCAACATTTGAAAGTAGGTCACTGCATTTGTAAGTCTTTTACTTGGTTTTGATACAATATAAGCACAATAAGCTTGTGGACTGTTTTTTGAGTTGTGCTCACAGGTTGGATGCTGACACTGCTTTTTTCTGGAATGATTAAACCCAAATAATCCTCCCTTATAAATACAGAAAATATACATGCAATGTTTCCCAACAGAGCCCTGTGGGAAGCTGAGCATCTTCACACCACCTCTCAGATTCCGCAACAAGGGGCCAAAGCTAAGCAGAAAGTATTAGATATTCATAGTTTTCTTCTGTACCACACAGTATTTCATCTGCACGCTTAACTAGCATCTACCGCTGGTTACTCTTTTAGTTCAATGAACCTACTCAAGATCTCAGTAAAGGCACCATCCTTATTTTCTTACCTTTGTTTAACCACTCCTAGAAGCTCTGCCATGGTCTTAATGATGTGTCTTTTGAGCATTAGATTTTCCAAAGATTATGTGAATGTAAAGAAAGAAATATGGGGTTGCTTGTTGCTTTTTTGATTACTTTTTTTTATTAATTTTCCTGGCTATGTTGTTAAACTGTAAAACTGAACTTTTGTCCTGGGTTCAGCAGTAGCCATCAATTTCCTCCTTCTTAGTACCTGGTGCAGTGCTGTGTTTTTGACTTTTAGCCTTGGATCAGCGCTGGTAACACCAACATCTTTAGATGTTGCTAAGTAATGTTTAATCTGACCAAGGACTTTCTGAGCCTCATGGTCTGCCAGGGAGGAGGGGAAGCCAGGAGGAAGCAGAGACAGGACACCTGGCCCAAACTAGTCAAAGGCGTATTCCGTACAACAGCACATCATACCCAGGATGTAAAACCGAGGGCAGTTACCCGGAAGGGTTAGATCACTGCTCAGGTCAGGCTGGGTATCAGTTTGCAGGTGGTGAGTGGTTGTATTCTCTTCCCTTGTTATTTCCCTTATCATTATTATCATTGGTGGTAGCAGTAGTGATTTGTGTTATACCTTAGTTACTGGACTGCTCTTATCTCGACCCATGGGAGTTACATTCTTTTGATTCTCCCCCCCATCTCTCCAGGAGCAGGGGGGAGGAAGGGGGGGCAGTGAGAGAGAGACTGCCTGGCTGAATTGCCAACTGGGTTTAAACCACGACAACTTTGTAAATAGCTTTTTTTTTTTTTTCTTGGAAAAACAACACATTATGGCTATTTTTGTGACCGCTCATAAGGAGCAATTGAGGGAGCACTTCAGGTGAAACTGAAGGCTGTACTTCACTGCTTCCTTTTCAGCAGCCTAAACCTTCCACAGGGAAACTAAGATTTCATACTCTAAGAATTTTAATTAAAAAAAAAGAAATAATCTACTAACACTTGTAGCTCAGTAATACAGGCTACACAGCAAACAACAAAGAGCCAGATTTTGTGCTGGCTAATCTCAAAGTAAAGCTATTCAACAAGTGGCACTGGCTTAAAAATGATACAAATGAGTGGTCAGCCAGGCCAAAAATTAGAAGAGCAAATCTAGCATGAATTTACATCACTAAACTATTTTCCTGTTGTGGATATAACTTTGCTGACTCTGTTCATCAGTTACTAAATAGTAAATGATAATTTTAAAAGAGGAATTCTGCAGCTCTATAGATTCTGTCATGCTGTAAATAACCAGACAGCTTTCAGAGCCAGCATGGGTCTGTCTGCCTTGCTGGAGTTCCAAGGAGTCTTTGGACTTAGATCAGTTTGGCTCTTTACCAGCCCTTACACAATTCTGAAGGTATGCAGTGAGCTTCTTCAGAGCCGGCTTGATGGTAAAAGGTGACAGAAGAGCCTTTACTGGTCATATGATTACTGCCCATCAGAAGCTCATTCCCCACCATTTGTGAAATTGCTCCTGCAGTTTTGACATGGTTTCTCAAGCCTGCATAGGTCAAACAGTGAACCTAAATACTACCTAGTGGATATAATAATCCTGATCCTATGTCCTCCTGTCCTGTCTTATCCTTCCGAACAATCATTTCATGTAGGGAACCACTGCAGGGAAAAGACTATTGTCTCACATACTTTTATGCTCAGAACTGCTCCTGCTGCTCTTCACCTGCAAGCTGAGTCAGGAATTGCCCCTTCAGTGAACCACAGAAGCATGCAAGTCCTTCAGAAACTTGCAATCACAATGAAAGCATCATTATACAAACAGCACAAGTGCCATAATCCATTTACTGAGAATCTGCCTTATGATAAGTGACAGCAAATTTGCACCCAAAGTGGCAGGGAAAAAAAAGAAAAAGTAAGCAAGCAAACATCTGTCATTTTCACCCTCAAAATACTGCAAGCAACCTTAATCAGAATTGAAAGCAAGAGCCTTGTAGTTCTGAGTGTTATGAATTACTCCCTCGCCCTATTTTACAATGTTCTTAACTCATATCTATACTGTTAGAAATGCATTACGAGGGAAAGATGCAAATATGACTTTGCCACAAAGACAAATCCCATTTTCATGGAATATTATTCCGAGGAACTGACAAAAGGTAATCCAGACAAGGGAGTATATACCATTCAAAAGATGATTTAAAAGCCTCTGGTCACATGTTAGAAAGGATCATTTTTACTTGAAGAGATAGCAAATAACTTGTGAGTTGAAACATCTTGAAAGCTAATCCCAGTAAATCAATGAGCCTCTTGAAGGGCCCTTCAATGTGATCTTCAGCAATTAATGGAACATGTTACAACCATGTTCCCAAGTATACTATCAGGAATAAAGTTGTACATAATAATGCGTAGAAGGCAAGACAAATTTTATGCAGTGTTTCTCTGCAGCTGTTTCTGGAAGACTTTTGGCTTGCAGACTAGCTTGAACATGTTCAGATGTTTTCACGTAATGGGAGTAATCCTTCAGAATGCTAAATCTCTTACAAAGGTGTCAAGCATGGTCATCTCTCACTAGCCTCAACAGTATGCAAGATAAGGTCCTTTGCAGGTAAGACAGAACAATCAAATAATAATTTCCAACTGCATATGAGAGTTTCAATTGTAGGATTTGGTTATAGGAAGTCAGAGGCCTTGCTTTGAACTCCAGTTCTACTTTAATTTCCAAAACAATCACTGAATAAGAGAAATACATTGTAACTCCAAGCCTCTCTTAGAATATGCACCCCTTGATGACGTTCCCCAAGGAAGATTGAAACATCAGCAGGCAATATGCACTGACAAGAAGAAATCTTTGTAAACAATGTGAAGACCACTGATCTAAGCTTCCTCCCACTGGCATGTTAGGAAATGAATATAACAACTGTACAGTTTTGAGAGTAAGACAGGAAAGAACCACTTGCACAAAAATCTGTCCATACCTTCTGTTTGAGCTCACTGGTTTCACTGATGAAAGAATCCCTCTCCTTCTCCAAATGGTAAATAATCTTCCTTTGTTTCTGAGCTTCAGTCTTATAATTTTGGATTTCACTTTCCAAGTTCCTCTTTGACTGTTCATGGAGCTTCACCAGATTTGTCTGCTTCTGAGCGGCACTGGTGGCCTTGACCAAGTTCTACAGGGAACACAAAATAATGAGTCTTGAGCTGAAAAGGCAACACTGCCACCACTATGGCAAAAATATGCCATATGATTACAGACTTCGTAATGTCATTACCCCTTAGCTAATTTGTTCAGTTGAAATACTTGAGCCTCAAATCTGATTTTAAAAAATACCCATCTCTAACAGAGCTGCTAAATAGTGCTTTTTCTGATTTGAAGTTAAAACACTAGTGTCTGCATTACAACAAAAAATGGATAGGATTGTTTACAAGTGGATATAACTAATGACTGGAAAAACCTTACCAGCTTTGAGGCATTTAGATTGTAAAGCATACCAACAGCCAGAAAAATAAATAATAAAGGCAAATACCCTTCCTTCTCATGTCCTAAATAGCAAGTTCAAACTGGAAATTAACCAAGCTTGGTTTGAAATTATGCATAAGGATTAAACAGAGACTACTGAGATATTATATTTATGAAATTAGCATTCTGGTCCCACTTAAAAATTTACCTGCCCTATACAAAACAGGTTTTTGTTACTTGACAAATGTGAACCTCTGCTGGAGTTGAGACCCATGACAGTGAATCTATATAAAGTAAAGCACCTCAGAAATCATCTTTTAGCACTGAATTTACTAGATTACACTTCAGGAATGCCCATAAACATGAGATGCTACCCTGCAGTACAAGATCCTTGGGCTGATGGAAAATGATCAGTATGAGAAATGGACCTAAAAGCAAGGATTGGTATTAACATAGCCTGCCAAGCTGCTACATGGTGCATCAACATTTTTGGGTTGTTCTTTTACTAACAAAGACTTAGTTTGCCTAGATTAATATTAAACTTCATATGCTTCAGAGTGTAAAAGCGCAGACGTAATGAACTCTGGATATCAAATAATGGATTTGCAATAAAGGTGAACATATGTAGCATTTTTTAACTCCTTAACAGTTTGTACATTAGAAATCTTTTGTGTGCTTACGGGTACACTATTTCGATGCATAGGAAAGAAGCAGTGTGAGCATTTGCTTAAGAAAATCTGAATTTTTTACTCAACATTGTTTATTCTACAACATCTATGAGCTCCGGTGTTTAAACCAGAGGTATTTCATTCTCAAGCAGGGATTAGTTTATCACTATTATCAATGCAAGCTCACCTTGCTTAGCATATGTCTTTCCCTCCCAAGCTCCTCTATAGCTTTTTTGTCAATATCCGCCTGCTTTTTGGCAGCCTCCAACTCTAGAAAAAAGAAGAAAAGAGACTAAATCCTGGGTTCAACCTGTACAGCTGTTAAAAATAAAGAAACAACTTAGTGGACTTCTGAAGCTTCAACCTTACATGAACAGTTCAACTAGCCGTGACCAGGTTTAACAACCTCAGGCTTCAGCTAATGATGTTGATACTTATTTGGGTATTTAAAAGAGCTCAGGTACAGTAATTAATGATATGTGGAGTTATTATATTTAGGTTTTCAAACCAATATACCAAAAAGAAGTGTATATGTAGAAATCATGGAGCATAGAGAAAATCAGAGCCTTTTAAGAAGCTTCAATCTGAGCATTCAAAAATTGAGGCACTTTCAAAAAACAGGGACTTTCAGGATTATCCTAATCTCTCTATGTGAAATTCAGTTCTCCTCTGAGGCAGTGAAATTCTACTGGCTTCAGCAGAGTTAAAACTACCTGCTATGGGTCAAGATTAACACTGGACATGTACTATTAAAAAGATGCTAAAAACTGGAGACATGTTTTCACTACATTTTGAAATTAATTAAAACCTGCTACACTAACACTGCAACTCAGGAAATGCAGTACATTGGAGTGATGGGTCAAATACATTACTAGTAGCCATTCTCATGCATTCCAGTACAGATTTGAATTTCTTAAGTTCCTCTCTGCTTTCTAGCACAGCGCATGACCTGAAGCAGTACTAGCACAATACTTGTGGGAAAGCTCTTCCACCCTTGCAGAGATGCATGAAAAACAGACATAAATTTCCATAAATACAGTTACACATGAGGATTCATACCTCATACATGCAGTCTTGTCAGAACAGCAAGAGGAATTTATGCCCTTATGCATCAACTCAAACTAAATGAAATTTATAGCAAAGTAATTTTTTCCACCCCAAAAAGTCTCAGCAACTCTTAATATTTTGCAAACTTCATAACTTTAGAAAAAAAATCACAAAACTGTTTTTTTAATGAAAAATCACTTTGTAAATGTGTCTGTATTTCAAAGCATATTTGATTTTGAAAAGTATTTGCACTTTAATGTTTAAAAAGAGGTGGTTTAAAATGTTAAAAAAAATACAAGAAACTTGGTTTTAAAAGTTGAACAAAATATTGTATTAGACCCAAAGTGTTTTCTTCTAAAATGCCCATTTGGCAAAAATGTTTAAAGTTCCTTCTTAAAGCTCTCCAGATCTGTCAGCAAGTCAAAGTCAATACATAGACAGCTGTAGCATCCACACTGACCAGCTGAAGACCTGAACATACCAGAACTAAGCTCATTAGCTTGCTTGCAAAAATTCACTTCCAGGCTGTAACTATTCAGCAGAATCAAAGGAGGGAAAAAAAGCATGTCCTAGCAATATCTGCTTTCAGTAAGTTCTAAGATTGCTTCTCTCACAGGTCAGTTTAGGAGCAACGAAAGTGCATTGGGGATGACATGGCACCAATTGGTACATCACAAAGTTCAGTTATGCCTGTTGTATGTTCACCTGACATATGCTACATTATGAAAATTCGATAAGTCTACAAGGTTCTTAAAATGCTGCTATATGTTCCAAATGTTATTTATACAGTCTCCTACTAGACACTAAAAGAGCATGACCCTAACAGGGCGACATACCCCGAATAAATAAATAACAAATCACAAGACAGATCCACCCATCAGTAAGACACATACCTTTCTCCAGTCCAGATATTTGATTTTTTAGGATGTTTCTCTCATGTGCTGCATCAGTTTTCTGTTCCTCTGCAGCATGCAGCTTGTTCTGGAGAATCTCTCTTGTTTTGTTCAACTTTGAAATTTCAAGGCGCATCTGAGCCACTTCCTCATCTCTGCCCTACAGAGCAGCAATAAAGGGGAGAGAATGTATCTACAGAAAGAAAACGCCTCTGTACTTGGCATATACTTATTCCTTCAAATTCAGGAAGCAAAGGTATAAGTGCCATGGGTCACCTGAGAGAAAGTAATTAGCTAGTTTAACAATATTAAAAATAATTTATAGCAACACCAGCTAGGGCAAGGAAAATTATAACCAAATCTTATGCTTTAGGGCTAAAGATGATCAATAAGGAATCCCCAGCTGCAAACCTTGCACAGCACTCCCCAATTAATCCTGCAGATTAAACATGGGCAGCTCTAATTTCCTTTGAAGTATCAGGAACAGTGACTGTGATGAGAAAGTTATCTGTAGTGCGATCTGATTGCATGTCCCTAATAGCAAGTATCTGTTATCCCTATCTCTTTTATAACCTATGGCTTTGTTGTCATTTACCCAAGACAGGCTTTTTAAAAAAGTAAAAAGCGGAATTCATCTCATTTGCTGTACAATCAGAGGAGAAAATAATCAATCAAAACACTTCGTAACTAGTTACCAGGAAACACAACCAATAATCACAAGAGAAATTAGTATATCTCCTTTTAAGACGTAAATATAACTTCCTCGTACAATTCAGTGCCACTCTTAGGTTTTACAGCCATCACAGACTACAGTATTCCAATTACAGCCTCAGTTACTGATCCTGTGAGATGGTGAATCCTACTGTTTAAGTATCCTCTGGGAGAGTGTGAATGTCCTCAGTTCTTACTAACAATAACCTTGAACACACGTATGAGTACTTTCACAGTTCAGTGAACACCACGGTGGAGGCACTCAGCATGCTGCAGGATGGAACTGCAAGCACAACAGCTATAAAAAGGGTGTCTCAAACCATGACTGGGGCTTGTAGAAGTTTTAGCAATTGGCTTAATTAGTAACTACTCAGTAAGTTCTATTTTGTTTTGTTCCCAGAATTCCATCTGCATGATTCTACAAGTTCTATCCACTTTTCTTGAAGTTAGGATAAGATCATAGAATAAAAATCTTCCTTTTGACACTCTAGAGCCTCAAATGTAAGTCACAATTGAACACATTGCTTGTAAAATTTTAAACAATGATGGTATTGCTAGAAGGAATGATAAAATCAAATAACCTGGAAAAGACAGCAGTTTGATTCTCAAATAGGCAAAAAAAAAAAATATCCTCCAGTCTGCCTAACAAAATACAACAGAAAACAGTCTCCTACCATACAGTCCATTGAGGATCAGAATCATCTGTGGTTTAATCTGTCAGCGGTTAGTTTTTCAGTTTTCATCATTTTGACTAACAGTTCCCTTTTTATTTAGGGGAATTGATTACACTTGACTAAACCTTGATAAGATAATTATTCTCTACCTTAATGTTTAGTGTTTTAATCCCAATGATAATACAAAATGCGAGATACGGTAGACCGAGTAATAACATCTAACACTTACACATTACCCTTTCTCAAAGGGTAATCAAAGTACCCTAAAAGGCATATGCAGGAACCTTCCCCAGCTGAAGCTCACCTTCTTCTGAATGGTACAAAACAACTCTTAAACAATGTCAAGTCAGGCAAGAAAACAATTTATATCAGCAAGTAAACACCATTTTAGTTACATATATTTCATTTTCCAAACTCGGAAAGGGGGAATTTCAGTGTTGGAAGCAGCTCCCTTCAATGGAAGCTATCCAGGAAACTGTCATTACAATTTATTAAGATTTGTCAAGGTTTTTGGCAAAATTCAGATTATGTTAATTACTGTAAGCAAGAAAGCCGTTGTTTTTATCTGTAGCTCTCACAACCAAAATAACCATCGTGCTTGTTCAAAGTACCATGCATCGTTTCTGAACACGATGTACTGAGCAGCTTGGTTTATGTGTTTTGTGAAACACAGCTCCTCCTGCAGGACAGGTGCTCTACTGTCAGGGGACAGGGTTGGAGGCATGGTACTGCCACCGAAAGAATGGCACCCAGTGACAGCCAGATCTATTCCTAGAAACTCCTTAGCTGAGATTTTCTCCAAAACTACCCATAGGGAGCTACCAGTACAAGAACTGAGGTCATCCCTGTCCCAGGCAGTAAGATTGCCATCAGAGCAACACAGTTGATATCATGCATACACCTTCCGGTACTTACTTTCAGTTCTGCTGTCTTCTGCTGCATGTTCTTCATCACCTCTTCAAACACCACATTGTGCTGCTCAATCTCTTGTATGAGCTTACTATTTCTCATATGTAGTTGCTCAAGTTCCTTACCAGCTTTTTCATTCAAGAGCTGTTAGATTAAAGAACAATCCTAGTAATTCTTTATAATCTCATTATAATATCTATATATACATGAAGACAGAACTTTCCATCTCACCAGGAGATAAAGCCTGCTACAGATTGTTGGCTGCTTAAAAACCACTCTTCATTGCTGATGAAATTACTAATGTGAAATACGATACATGCTCATATTGACTACAGGAAATGATAATTTCTAATAAATAACACAGCTAGTGTCATTTCAAAATTTTCTTTCTGGGAGGGAAAAAAATGGAAAACATTTAGCAGGTCTCTCTTGCAGGTGGTAGATAAATATTTTACTTCTTGTTAGGCATTTGGCAAGCATCACGTAACACAACGTGCTACACATAATTGCTGAAAACAAGGATGAGATTCAAATTACTTCAATCAGCAGAAGGCAGGGGAGCTCTGTTTCTTAGCAAGCAAATCCTACATTAATATGCTGATTACATTTCTCTGGGTACATGGTATGCTGAGACCAGGACACAGCCATTTTCTTCTCTAATTTGTCATCAGTCAAAAGCCTGCAACAGCAGTTTTATGGTCTGTGTGGAGAACATATACTTCAATACTGGAGCTGCCAGTCTTGTCTTCTGCTTTATGGGACTTCCCCTAACAAATATTACTCTGTAAGTGAGGAAAGAAAAAGCATCATATTTTTCACTTCAAGCATTAATGTGTGATAAATTCGTGAAGTCAATATATACTATGCCCTTACAAACATTCAAAGAAGTGGAATCTCCCTCTTTTAAACTCATACAGAAGCAAAGATAAGTTGCTTCTTATCAAAAACAAGGAATATTGGGTTTTGTGTTCTAAACGTTAGGATAACACTGTGTTTCAGGAGACTTTTTATTGAGGTTTGTCCATGGGTGGGATGTAGCCCATAGTAGCTGTATCAAGCCATCTTCACTGTCATGCAAGAAAGCCAACTATCATTCAGTTGAGAAATGGCAACCCAATGACATTGCAATAGCTGAGTCACCTTCTCTCACAGATCTCTACTCTAGCTTATGCACAGTTGGATAGCCTGCGTTTTGGACAGACTTTTTGCAAAAGACAATGCAGGGCATCTACAGACACCTTCATGCCAGCACAGGTAACAAAGACAGTGCAAAGCCTGATTAATTAGCCTAGGCACAGCACTTTATGTGAATTATTGGTTTCCAGGATAGCTTGGACAATTGAATGCCCCTAAAATCTGCAGTTAGAAAGGTTGAAAGGGACTATAAAGAAGAGGAAGAAAGGAACAGAACCATGAAATGTAGGTATCCTATTTTAAAAAAATGTGATTTCCTGGCAGATCATGGAGCTGCCCTCAAAAGCTGCATCAAATGAGTGATATTCAGAGAAAAAAATCAAGTCTTCTCTGTACCTCTTTATGTGAAGTATTTTACTAGGATTTTTTGTTGACAAAAATATTGTCACAGACATCTACCTTCACAAATTCAGGTACCTGAAGGGTGAAAAAGCTACAAAAGTAATAAATTTACAAGATACACAAAACTCCCAAGGTAGGACTGGTTTACAGTGATGAGATCTCTCCTGCCATTTACTGAAATTGCTTCTCTGAGAGTTTCTTAAAGTCAGGGGAAATGGACTGAAAACCTTGAAATTCAAACACTTTAAGAACACTATGTTAGGGCATTTCCAGATAAAGTTTTTAGAAACAGAATGGAGAAAATCAATCAAAAAGGTTTACGAAGACAGCTCTCTGCCCTTTCACGGAAACTCTTCCACAAGCTTGAGAGATAGATAAAAATTATTGTGACAGAGAAGAAAGAAGGGGTTGGAGGTAAAATGACTTTTTTACTAATGCCACTACAGTCAATCAGTGGCAAAACTGGCAATACACATCAGAAATTCCACCTGGCAGTCTCCTGTTACTATCATTAGACCATCCACACTCTTCACAGACTGTGTCTCATTTGATGTGATCTTTCCAAGATCACAATATCATTGTGATCCACTACTGATTTCTGTGAGTAAATCTATCTGAAATGTCAGCAAGCTTTACATATTTATTTATTAGTAAATTAATATTTATATTGAAATAATTATTTGTTAAAATGTAGTGACTTAAATTAATATCCCTCCCTCTCCCTTCAGGAAATTATTTGAGCAGCTTAGACCTGACACATGCAGTGTACCATGTACCCTACCTTCAGCTCTTTTAGGTTCTGTTCCATTTTCAGTTGTTCCTCTTTATTCCTCTGTATATCTTGCTGTAAATTCTTTATCTCAGTTTGCTTATCATCCATTTCAGCTAGAAGATTTTTCAGATCCTTCTCTAATCTTTCCTTTTTTCGAGTCTCTCGTGTTACCTCATACTGTTGCACCTGGATGTCTTTCTGCAGCTGTAACAATAGACAAGACAAAGGTTTTGAGTTCTGCTGCCTTTTATTCCAGAAAACAAGGCCTATCACCTCTCCTTTTACTGTGCTTAGTTTTGAAAACAACAGCTTCTGTATTACTGTACCCACTACTCCATGTAATATGCCAGATCTTCTCAGAAGAAAATATGTTCTCTAGAGGTTGAACAAAATACCCTGCATGAGGGAACCTATTCAATGATGACAAGAATTTATTAAGCATCAGTCAGTTCATCTACACAGAAGGGTCTGACACAATTCAGACAAAAAAGCATTCCTCTGGACATGTATTTTCAGTTATAAGGTATTATAAAGTGGCATTTTCTGAATGCAGCATTAAAACTAATTAGGGCTTCATATTGTACTGCAAGGATTTTTATTTTTCTATCTCACCAGCAGAAACACTTATTATACTGATATTAAAAGAAAGAGAGAGATGTCAGACCAGTGTTCATTTTCACAACTGCTCTCAATCTTCTGTTCTCAAAGTTCCTCTGTGGGAACTTTGAAAGAGGAGCTTCCTTTCATATTTAATAGACTGTCTTGTGACACTTGCTCTCTCCCTCCCCAAAAATGTGATGGAGCAGAATCAGCAGAGAGGAGAGACAGGGGGTTGATCCACATGGAAATTTTCAGTTCAGCCAGGAACCAGCAATTGTAAGATATTCATTGCTTAAAGTTTCCTCTCCTTCTGAACCCACAGATGAAAAGTTGCCAGAACAGACACAGTCTTTAATAGGATCTACAGAAAGACATTGTCATTTAAGCAGTCTGAAGTGGAGAATAATTTCTCGAGAACTGGGAGAATGGGGGGTAGTTACAAATACTGTAACAATCCTGTAAATTTAAGGGCTGATAAAGTGAATATCAGAAGATTAAAGCTGGCAAGATCCAGTAAGTTTTGATGGGAGTTTCAATCCTCTCTCTTTTCTCCCATGCTCACAATTCTGTCAGAAAAGCAAAGATTTATGTTGTCTTGTAATACACTCCCAGCCATCTGCTTTAGAAACAGATGCTGTGCACAAAACATAAACTGATCATTACTTTCCTATATGTGATTAATAAAAAACTGTAAATTAAATGCTGCTTCTATCTCTTCTTTGTCCTTCAAGTGTTCTTTTCTGCTTTTCCTTTCTCCTGCTGTCTTGCTCCAGCCCCTATTTACATTCTGCTTTAAATTCTCTTATTCTTCATTATTGTGTTTTTATATTTTGTGTATCAATCAGAGTTCTGCATCCCGTCTTCCATTCTTTTCTACTTTCTTTCCACTCAGTGGCCATTCTATTGATCCTCAGTCTTCCGTATCTCTAGCTGCTGTACGCATTTAAAAGAAGCTGTACAGATTGATCATTAAAGTAGAACTGTCTGCTCAGATGGTCAGAAAAAGAGAAAACCTAACTTAAAAAGGAAACAAAAAAGTAAAGCTGAGATGGAATATAGAGACCTCATAGCAGCCTTCCAGCGTCTGAAGGGGGCCTATAAGGATGCTGGGGAGGGACTCTTTATTAGGGACTGTAGCAATAGGACAATGGGTAATGGGTTAAAACTTAAACAGGGAAGTTTAGGTTAGATAAAAGGAAGTTCTTTACTGTAAGGGTGGTGAGGCACTGGAATGGGTTGCCCAAGGAAGTTGTGAATGATCCATCCCTGGCAGTGTTCAAGGCCAGGCTGGACTGGGCTTGGGTGACACAGTTTAGAGTGAGGCATCTCTGCCCATGGCAGGGGGGAGGGGGGTTGGAACTAGATGATCTTAAGGTCCTCTCCAACCCAAACCATTCTATGATTCTACAACTCTATAATATGACTGCTTCCTACAGGTAGTGGTGATGTGAAAAATTATTTAAGCTGAAAAACAGTAGGCAGGAATCAGTGTGAAGAAGAAAGGAGGTCTCTAACCATTAGAAAAGTGATGTTCTAGAAAGCTTCCCACAGAAAAAAGTAAGGGAGGTTTAATTAATTCAAAGCTTAATTAGCTTTGAAGTCAGAATTTGATGCATTCTTAAAAATGATGGTATGGTGACCACTGCCAACAGCAAAGAATCTAGGATCTCTATTCCAGGTCTACATTCTAAATGGTTCTTTGAAAGCATAATGATTTACAATGCAGAAAAAAAAACACAACATCTCCAGTACGAAAGATAACTATGACTCAGGCAAAGGAACCTTGGCTTCATTCACGCTGCTGGGAAGTTATGGAAGCAGCTGGTCCATGACATTACACTTTGCAAAGGACATAGCCTAGAAGTAGAGAAAAACATAAAAATCATTCACAATAGACTCCTTTCTGAGCACTACTGAAAACATTTGAGATGTGAAGGAACAGGTAGTAGCATACTAGTCAATGGAGACCAATTGCAAGTGTGGAGAATGGTTCAGGATAAAGTCTAGAGTTACCACCTGGTGATCTGTACTGACCTGCTTAATAGATTGATCTGCCTCAGTTTTTGCCTTCTCCATAGCCTGCTGCTGTTCTGCAGCTTGAGTTAGACTTTGACGTAACTCCACAACTTCTGACAACAGTTGGTCTCTCTCCTTTGTTATGTCTTCTTTATATTTTAGCAAATCCCAGACTCTGGAAGCAAGGAAATAATAGTCAAGCAGTGTCACAGGCCATTTCTGCTCTTCCTGCTATGCCAGAGCAAGCTTTTTTGTGAGAAACAGGAGTTTTAAAGTAATTTGTTTAATTTTAAACTCCTTTTGGATTAAGGCTCTGCTGGTCAATTGAGTTATATGCTGTCTACTGTCAATGTAGCCACCATCAACATAGGTAGCCTTAAAAGCTAACCTAGTCCAATAAATCACTCTTTCTTGTAATAATTCCTTATGGGTATGAAGAAACCCTCAGTTTCCCAAAAAGGTAACAGGGAACAAAATTCCTTCTTCTCTGCCTATTGCAAAAATACTCAGGGACCAAAAATGTCACATTATTGTAACCAGTCTCTCTGCAGATTACCTGACTGGGCACCTAACTAGGGTATGTCTTACAGTACCTAATGTAAGAATAAACCAGACTCCCCCTTCAGACACATTTTCAATCTGAAAGAAAGTTCAAGCAGTGTGGGCACAAGCTCAACCTTAAAAAACAACCTATAGTTCTAAAAGACAATAGGACTTTCAGCCTTATAGGGCTGAAAACCTTCAAAGGAGTTGTCTGGCCCCTGGCCAGACAAGTCCCCCTGGCTTTGTCACTGGACAAAGTATTTAAGCATGGAACTAGCAGTAAATACAGAAGGAACTTTAAGAAGCGATTTTAAGTAGGCAGGTCTCAAGCAGCCTGGGCAGCAGCTGGAAACGGTAAGCAGCTCCTGGCTCTTGCAGGAAAATGCTACAAGCAGCCAGAGAGCTGCTTTTAGACAGAGTTATACTGGGGGAAGGCTTAATGACCAAGCTTTTAGATCCAAGGAAACCTGTTACACAGGCCCAGAACATTTCAGAGACAAAAGGTGAAGGAGTGGATTTTTCATGCATTCAGGTGGTTTATGTTCTGGCATATTCCTTGGGAGGGAAATGTTTGAGCACACTAAAGGCCTTACTCATACACACAAGTCTTGTTTATGTGGTCAGGATGCACAGTGCATGGGGAGATGAGTATGGCCCATATATATCCTGAATGCTTAACATAAATACCTTATACAGTGAGAGAATTACAGCCCAGAACCAGCCAGGTGAACCATCAGCAATCTCCACAGAAAGTGCACAAGTCAATATATTTATCTCATCTTTGAGTTTAGACTTAAACTTACAGCATAACCACAGTCTGAGGATTTGATACTACAAACACTAACTTTTAGAGGACTTTTGAGCAGCTCCTGAAGTTCATTATTATTTGTGTGCTGTAGCAGCCAGAGGCTCCACCTGACACTAAGTCCCTCTATGCATAGATGTTCAGTAGAAAAAAAACTATAGTCTTGAAAGTATGTAAATATAAAATACAAATAAGAATACAAACAATAATAACTGTTGTAACAAAGCTGGGAACAGAAATAAAGTCTCCTGCTTCCTTGACTTATCTACTTGACCCTGCTGCCATCACATGTAAAAATCTTGACAGGATCCTGTTCTCAAAGACAGAGTATGTTGAAATGCTACTCAGATAAAACAATATGACATATACTGAGAAAGTGCATAATATTGATTTTTATTTGATCTCCCAGATTAATCCAACACTGAACGAACTTGCTCAGAGCCTGATTCTGTACTTGCTTACTGCATACACATGTAGACCAATAAATGTGCAGTCCTGAGAAAAGTAGAAGGCAGGAAAGACCTCTCTTTCTTTTTCCCAGTGTCTTTGTAGTGTGTAAACAGCTAACCAGAACAGAATGTAGTGTAGAATGACAGAAAATCAGATTAGGATTTCCCCCTCGCTGAGGAAAACTTACTTGCGGTCTTGTCCTAGGGATGCTTCAGATCCTTTCTCCACTGAATTACTTAGGCGTGCAATTTCCTCTTTCAGTGAAGCAATCTTCTCCTTTGCTTTCTGCTCCTTTTCATAGGCTATATCCACCATTTTCCAGGCCTTGTCAATCTCCTAGGAATGAAATTGAAAACAATTACACAAATTAAATTGTGTTGAAAATGAACAAATTAATTGCCTTGCATTTTAGTTAATTAAGAAAATGGATTTTCATGCCTTTTCATGCTTAGATTCACAAAAGTTTTCCTTACTAGTTGCCTTTTCATTTGGATGAGGGCATAGCAAACACTTTGAGACATACAGACTATGTATGTCAATTTACATCACAAAAGCTCTAATACATTTTCTTTAACACACAGATCTGAACATTATCAAATCTCACTCTACAAGGTTATGGTCATGTCAGACCCAGTAGTACCTAAAAATTTGCTGAAAATTCAGTACCCACAAAGGTACTATCTACTTCAATGGCTCACTTATGTCTGTACAAATCTTATTAGATGCTATGACAATGAACATTCAATTTAATTAGGATGAGAAAAAGATGGTACTCTGGGCTTTTCTCTCCCTTTGTTCATTTCCATCTGTGAGGACCTAGTGTATTTTTATTTTAACTGTGTATTTAGACAAGCTACGATTCTTACACCAAATTTCAGCACATAGAATTACTTGAATGACAGACTCGTGCGCCTCTCACAAGCCCAGGGCTGATACCCACAAACAGGATAGACCAGGATAGGGGAGGAGGGTTCACTCAAATTTTTTAACTTCCTCTGTATCTCTCTCCTTTGAATAAGATCCTTAAAAGTCACAGAGCAGGCTTATTCTTTGCCAGGTTTAAACCAAGCTCTTATCAGTTCTAGAATCCTGTGCTAAAAAAAAAAAAAAATGCATAAATTCAGAACTGGACTGGAAGAAAAGTTCCCAAAGACTCAGTAAATAATGAAGACACTACTTGTGGCACTAGAAGTCCCTGAGCTGCAAATCACAGCATGACGTCCTCTCTCATGCTCTTTTCTCAGCTGGCTCCTGGTGGAGTCCTGGACTTAATGGACATGTACAGATTTAGACTCCTAGTGTGGCTGTGCAGCTCTATATTAGCTCTAGGGTCTCCCCAAGCAGAGCCAGACAGAAGCATCATTACATCAGGCCATAATATGCTTTTCAACTCCTATTTGCATCATACGAAAATGGGACAGGGAAAAAAACTTAAAACACCTCCACAGTGAAGTATGTAAAATAATTTCATTTATATCAGATTGTTTACAGCAATTCTCTATTGAAATTAACATATCTGGTTCTAAAAGAACCCCATTTAACATTAAACTCAAAATTATGACACCTATACTATGGTATATTGTTAATATATTTATTGAACTCTTTAAAATCAAATGTAGTACTTAGCTGTTTACTGCCTAAATTAAAAATTTAAGCTATTAAACCAGCAGAAGTAACAGGCTACTAGAATTTGCTGAAAAGATAACACAAAATGTAACATCTGTGGCCTCTTCAAACTGGAAAGGGAATACATTTTCCTTTTATTTACTCAACGAGTTCAGCATATCCAAATTTGAAAAACCATCTGGAACTTAAAGATCAGGAATGTTTGTTCTTCTTTTTTTTCCCACCCTATTAAAGAGTTAGGCAGTGGACTTTACTTGTTCGGAAATTCTGAAGGAGATTATAGTCAATTAAATTCACTACCTAAAACCAGTATTTTCATTACTCAGTAAATTACTTAGCTCAAAATGTAGTTCAAAAGATGTGCTTTTCACTTCTGCACCAAGCATATTTAAACAGGTTTAAATATTAAAGTAAACTTTTGGTTTATACATTTTGAGTTCTAATTTCCATTCAAATGCAGCAATGATCACACAGAAAGTATTAAGTATCATCTCGTAAATATTAAATTTTCCATTCATTATTATCTTACATAAAAATGTTCAATTATGAAATTGAAATAAATGCACACTGGGCTGAAATAACAGCATGAAGATATCATCTTGACTGGCAGAATAGCACAAAATATAGCTGTAAACAAACGTGTTTCAGATTTGCCAACCAATAAGAGGCAACCAACCTTTCTCTAGAAAAATGCAAATGGAAAATAAGATTAAGGCTGATTACTTAAATCAAAGCTTCCTGCTGGCTGATTAGACTGTGATTAAAATTGGTGAATTAAATCATTATGATTGGAGTTTTGGGGGATAGAACTGGTGAATAAAATCAATATGACCTCTGAGAGTTCTTAATGGCTTCAGCAACTATTTTATTCTGGTGAATATTCACAGCAGAGATCACTGAAGTCAGTGAGGCCATTCAGATAAGCAGTGATTTCAAATCACCCCAAGCTGTGCTTTTTTAACTTTGTCTTGCTTTTGATGGGTAAAAATAATCTTATTGAATTTATATTGATAAAACCAATTTTGATCAATAAAGTTAGCAGGCACAGATGATGGCCCCATTAACAAGTAAAATGTAAATAAGAATTTGCTACAGAGTTTAGCATCAGCAAAACTGGGCTTCTCTGTAATTGTTTCTTGGTCGTGTCTTTTACCTTGAATAGAGGATCAGCAGAGAGCTTTCTTTAATTTCAAAAGTAAAGAGGAGGAAAATTTTGATGGTGGAAGCCTTCATTGCAAAAATGTTCACACTATTACTCAGTGGAGAAGGGAACTGAAAGAATGCAGTTTGTCAGCATCACTGCATAATTGCAGTACATGGTTAGATAGGTAACATGCTTTGCAATTTGCATATAACTAAAGACAGAAGTCCGCTGGATGTTTGCAGTTAGAATCATCCAAAAGTTTTGTGGAGAAGGACTGGAACTCTGGAAATTGTGAAGCAGAATTCAGAAATGTGACAGCCTTATTTTTTTTTTCATTAAGTACCCCAAAAGATCACACCAGTTTCACTGCTCAGAAACTGAGAACTACTGAAATGGTTTCTTAGTGTATTGGATTGATCCCCCTGGAAATTGGGAACTTGGTGATTTCAAGCTGGGCAATACAAGCTCCTATAAATTCCCATTCTAGCATTCTTCCCATGCAGCCCTGTGGATCAGTGTCCCTATCAATGAAAAAAGAGAACTGTATTCCCTTTCTGTTCAGCTTGACCCTTTGCTCCTTTGATGACTGTAAACAGCAGACTGTTATGTCCAGTTTATTAAAACTATAAACCATAGCACTGAGCAACCATCACGCAGTTAACAACTATTGATTATTAGTGACCTGGGTCCTACCAGCCACTGATCTGTGTAGTTAACCCCTGTCCCTAAACAATCATACTAATTACAACCAGGCTTCACATGGAGAAAAATTTTGCTTCTGCAACTTGTATTTGTATATGAAACAATGACCTAGAAGAGGAAAGTTGTATACCTTCAACCCTGATGATCCATCAGGTCCCCAAGATTTAGGGCCTTAATTTGAAGGAACTATTCCATTTTGACAGGAACAGCCCCACCAGGATTCTCCCAGCTTTTATAAATAATGAAACAGAGGAACAGATTGTTTATTTAGCACTGAAGAATATTATCTTTGCTATTTTAGCACTTGAACTTGCCTCATCACTTGCCTTGGGCACCGCAAAATACATTGTTTGAACATTAGTAAAATTGTAGTGAAATACAACAGCTGTAATGGAACTTCCCTTCAGAAAGGAGGATAATGTGAAATATGGAGGGTATACCAAACAAAACCCCAAAACATGACATTTAAACATTTTAAACAACATCCAAATAATTCCTGAACATTTAAGGGGAAGACTAATTCTCATAATCAAACTGAAAAAGTGTCAGTGCTCTTTACTTGGCCCACAGAAAACCACCAGAACTGATATCTTGCCTGAGCTTCAAATCAGCTGCTTAAATTGGAAAGGCTCTTATTTTTCCTACTCTTCCCTTCCTCAGTTTTATGACATTACTAAGACAATGTCTCCTCAGCTTGGGAACATCTTGAAGGATTGCCTCTGCTACTGCTCACACTCAGAGTATTGTCATGTAATAGCAGAAAGCAAATTAGAATGATCATTGTGGTTCCTGACACCCTCCTACCAGGTTTTGCTTAGCAGCAGTGAAAAACAGCAAGATTTTCTATACAGTTTTCCTCCTTCTCTTTGAGCAGTACCATGGGCTTGTGAGCTGCAGCCATAGGATGACAACATCCTATTTAATAATTATAAGGACAAGAAACTTCACTTCAAAGAACTTCTATTTATGTAGTGCTCATAGATCACTCTGGATTGTTACACTGAATTTATTTTACTGGAACAAACCACTTGATTGTAAGGCATTGAGGTTTCTCAACTAAGTGCTAAATTAAAGCCTAAGTTTTTACACTATCAGAGAGGAAAGTGTTCAAAATACAGTCTTCTGATCATTTGGCAGCTTTATGTTTCTGCTAGTCAAACCTCACTGTAAGTCTAAAAAAATTGACTGTTTTTAGTGAGTGAAACACTCTGATTTGACAGAGTTCAAATCAATAACAAAGAACACATCAGACTCAATTGGCAAAATCACACTGAAATGCTGTAAAGGATCCCTATTAAAAAACCAAAGAGTTGTGAAACATTTACTTAGGTGAGTTGATGGCACTTCCCTGGTCTACAATCCATATTTCAGCAAATAAGTAATTTTTTTTAACGTTTTGGCAGCAGCCCTTCAGAAATACTAATGAATCAAAAGCTGTATATTAAGTTGAAAACGTGCTATTTTACAAAGGGGAAGTTTAAACAAAATTATTAGTGAGTACCTGAAAGCTGATAAGGTTGGTTTAGTGCAAATAAACACAGAATTTGACTGAGACCTGTAAAAATTTCCAGGCTGAAAAAACAAAGCAACTGATTGCAAAGCAGAGGGTAAAGAACTGGACATGCCAGCTCTACAGCTAGTCCTCCAGCTAGTTCTCTACATAAAGAAAGTGTTCTTGTAGATGTATGTCTTATTACCACGCTTGTCTTTAACAATTTCAGATCATTTTTAATTCTATTCAAAATGTTACCGTCTTCATCGATGATATAGTACTCTGATCGTCTTTACAGAGCTTTATGAGAGCAGCTGCTTTAGATGAATTCACCATAAGCTCAGCATTCAGGCTCCTGCATTTCTCCGTGAGACGCTTTTCATTTTCATGAGACTTTTTCAGAACAGTATGGAGCTTCTCATATTCTATTCGGAATTTTTCCAGAGCTTTATCTCCCTTAAGCTGATTGATGACATCTTGGAAGTCTTTCTCCAGTGCTTCAAATGCACTTTCATCTAGACATGGTTTGGAAGACTGAATGAAATAAAAAAGATAATCAACAAATAGGAGAAATGGAACATTTCAGACTCCATGTAATGGCTTAACCCCAGCCTGCAACTAAGTACCACACAGTGCTCACTCACTCCCCCCCATCCCAGTGGGATGGGGAGGAGAATCAGAAAAAGGTAAGATAAAAGATAAAAACAATTTCATATTTGAAATAAATTAAATAATAATAATAATAATAATAGTAATAATAATAATAATATAAAAGGAAAAAGAGAGGAATCAAATCCAATACACACAACACAACAGCTCACCACCCACTGACTGATACCCATCCTGTACCCAAGCAGTGATTGATGGCTCCCAGACAACTCCCCTCAGTTTCTATACTAAGCATGACTCTCTGTGGTATGTTGGCTTGTTCAGGTCATCTGTCCTGGCTGTTCTCCCTTCCATTTCTTGTGCTCCTCCTCACTGGCAGAAGATGAGAGACTGAAAAGTCTTTGATTTAGGGTAAACACTAATGTGGAACAACTAAGACATCACTGTGTTATCAACATCATTCTCATAATAAATCCAAAACACAGCACTGTACCAGCTACCAAGAAGAAAATCAACACAGCTGAAACAAGGACACCCCAGAATACAAAAAGACAAGATACTGAATGTGTAACAGCTGCTAAGAAATCATAACAAAATTTTCTGAAATAACAGTTCTCTTACTAGCATATGATACACATACTGCAGGCTATTTTTCAAACAGATCTCCCCTGATTTTACTGAAACTTCTTGCGCTTTCACAGAATTGAGTATCATAACTACTTTAAAGATAGGGCTATAAAATATCATTGTGATAGTGTTTGAATAAGACGTCGACTATTCAGGAAGCCCAGTATTTTAGCCTCAATTCTTCCCAGTTCTCTACACCTAAAGTCTGATGACTTTATGCTTTCTATGGAGACAGTGCCAGCAAACCACCTGCAGATAAGTGTGTCTGAAAGCTCCAGTAATGCCAGTGCATGCCAATCCTTCCTCTGTAGGAACTCATAGAATTACAGAATCATAGCATGGTTGGAAGATAATCCAGTTCCAATCCCCCTCCCATGGGCAGGTACACCTCCCACCAGACCAGGTTTCTCCAAGCCCTGTCCGACCTGGCCTTGAGCTCAGCGATGAGGCATCCACAGCTTCTCTGGTCAGCTTGTGCCAGCGCCTCACAGGGAAGAATTTCTGATCTAGCTCAGTTCTAATATCAAATTTTGCCAGCTTTGTTGCTGGACACCAAGTTCCACCAATATTTTTCAAAACAGCTTAAAATAAGCCTCCATTATAGCCTTCAAAAAACACATTCATACCAAGAGGCAGCAGTATGGCAACTTCTATGGAGTTAGCATGATCTGCTAAGCAGCAAGGCGAATCAGCCCAGAGGGTGGATCATGCTGCCACAGGTACACTGCTGCCATTACTCAAGCTTGATCAAAACTGACTGGAACGTCTCTATACTATGAAATTGAAGTCTAGTCGTATCTTTACAACCATACCTCTGAGGTGGACTCACTTGGATAGGCAAATAGATCTCCTGCTGGTGCTGGCTGCGGATGTATGGCAACCCCACCTCACAGAGGACATTCAAGGAGATGCACAGCTCAGCCTTAGAAATCTGCCCTCGTATCTGCACCCACCCCCACCCCCCACCCCCCCAAAGCAATAGACTGCTATTTCAAGAATGGTTCAGGCCTTTACTCACTATTTGAACATAAACGGTTTAAAGGTGGGAATTTTCAAAATTGAAAAAGTCTAAAAGCAAAACATGTTTATTTCATGTTTGGGAGGAAAGGGAGGGGAATATGTAAACTCATGCTACCTGAAATACCTGAAATTAAAAAAGTAAAATCACACCTTTACAATTGAAAGGTCAGGCTATGAGACACATTGTGGCAGAGGCACTGGTCGCAAATCCCTGATCCCTGCCAGGGACCTCATTTGAGGGTTTGGGGTTTGTTTTTCTGTCAGAAACTTCAATGGTAAAACAGCAAAGACAACTTGAATGTTAAACCCTGGGCTGCTGCCCGCATGGAAGGGCGATCTGCCTGACATGCACAAAGCTTAGTGCACAACCCCTCCAACCCTGCCATGACACTCACAGCAATTCATTTGGGCTGCTACTTATTTCACCTTCCTTTCAAGCATGAATCCTTCAGTTCTGACCACTTTTACATTTGTGATCATAATTGGTTTTAAAAGCAGAGCAGTAACGGCATATGGGGAGAGGGAATTACACCCAAAATCTTAAAAGCAGCAGGTGTTACTACAATTTAAGTGTTACTACTGCCTTGTACCAGTAGCCTGATTACTCCTACTTTGAACACAGGACGTAACTGAGCTCTGCTCACAGAAGTAACTAGGCACTTAAGCGTGGTACACAGATCCAGATGGTACACAGACGATGTTGTTGGGCTTATTCGGAGGTACAAAAGAAAAAGGCGGGGAGAGGAGGGTGAGAGGGCTCACCTCAGCCATGCTGCCGGCTGGCCGCGGGCAGTGAGCACCGGAGTCGCGATCGGGGCTGCTGGAGCTACGGCTACCCGATGCCGCGGAGGCGCAGAAGCCGCCGCGTCGTATCGTAGCAACGGCGGCGGGCGGGGCCGGGATGGTTGCTGGGGCCCATGGAACCCGGAGAAGGGCTCGGGGCCCTGAGGGTTCCAAACTGTTGCTTAGAGAAGCCCTTCACACGTCCCCTCAAGGCACGGAGGTAGGCAGGGTCCTGTGGAAGGTGATGAAAGAGGGTTTGTGAGGGTCTGGGTCGCAAATTGCGTTTAGAGCATGGTTTCTGACATTTCGTTGCACCTGACTGTTCACACTCTGAAACATAGTTCCAGTCATTTCAAAGCATGCTTCTAATAAAAAAAAAATCAATAAAGATCCTTTTCTAAATTTTGAACTCTTCTTTTTCCTCATTTCCTTCTGTACTGATGTTTCTTATGAAATAAAATTACCAGGAAGATGATCATGAAAAATTCCTTGATTCTAGGTTTTCATATTCTCAAGAGGACCAAACTTTCACACCTTTAAAATAAAACAGCTGCAAGTGTAGAGAAATATCATAGAATCATAGAATAGTTAGAGTTGGAAAGTACCTTAAGATAATCCAGTTCCAACCCCCCTGCCATGGGCAGGGACACCTCACACTAAACCATGTCACCCAAGGCTCTGTCCAACCTGGCCTTGAACACCGCCAGGGATGGAGCATTCACAGCTTCCTTGGGCAACCTGTTCCAGTGCCTCACCACCCTCACAGTAAAGAACTTCTTCCTTATATCCAATCTAAACTTCCCCTGTTTAAGCTTTAACCCGTTAGCCCTTGTCCTGTCACTACAGTCCCTAATGAAGAGTCCATCCCCAGCATCCCTTTAGTCCCCCTTCAAATATTGGAAGGCTGCTATATCAAAGGTATGATTTTAATGTTGCTATCAAAATACTGCTGGAGGAAGTGGATATGCTCAGAATTACAAAAAAAAAAAAAAATAATATCTATGATAAACACAAAATCCTTCAATTTCACATTTTAAGTATGTAACCCTGATATTTATTATACTCTCTTATGGCTTTAACAACAAAACGGGAGTGGAAACCTACGAAGGGAAGTAATTACCTTTGCGCTTTAGATTCGTGTTTGTGCTTCTAAGTAACAACACAAATGTGCCCAAAACCAATACCTATTTATTCCCACGAGGCATTCCCATGAGCTTCCTGATCTACTGGAAAGTATCCTTACTTATTGCCAGGGGAATGAATTAGATGACCTTTGAAAGTCCCTTCCAACCCAAAATATTCTATGATTCTATTCTATGTTTTTCAGACTTCTAGTGGTTTGTGTCCTGTGAGACCCTCTAAGGGTGACTGTAAAGGCCGTTCTTCAAGACAAGTGCCATTTGAGCTAAGTTCATTCAAATCTGGTAAGTTCACCATAGAGCTGCAGTGCAGACATAGTAGAGTGACTGTGTTAGGGATCTGTGATAAAGTCATGCTAAAGTCCTTTTTTGATAATACAGCCACCATGCCTTAAAACATCACAACTCACACTGTATAGGTTTAAGTGCAACCAGGGCTGCAATCTGTTACAAGACTCAAATATTTACTTTGAATTAATTCTGCAGCAAACCTACAGAATGTCTCAGCAGGTTCACATCTGAGAAGCTGGTCTAACATCAGCACTTCTGACCTTAGCAAGTATTTTCTCTAGCCTGGGACCATCAGGAAGGTGGAAATAACCACAGCAGCCATCCTGCAATAGTGTTGTAGCTGTCATGGCTGTAAATGATGCACTTATGTCATAGAGTGAACCTCTAGACAAAGTGAAGCTCCAGAAGTGGAATCACTTTTTAATGCCCCCTTTTAAGCTAATCCTACATTCCCAGCTATGGAAAAACTTTTCTGCTAGTCAGTGTGAAAAAACTCTTACAGCCACAAAGAAGGGGGAAAAAAAGATAAATCACCTTAAAAGAAACCCAAATAAATCTCCATTAACAGGAGGGACAAGGCAGACCCAGAAAGTTTCAGTTCATTGAAAAGGCTGTTATTTATTTCCGAGTGTTTGACTTTGTTCAAGAGACACCCGTACTGTATGGTAAACAAGCAGAATCACCTGCTTCATGAGTGAGTTTTGCGTCAGTGGAGTACATTTGTGTTTGTGCAGAAAGGGTTACTAGAGAAGAAATGTTTGCTCACTGATTTATTTGAGATCACAACCCCCAGGCAGTTAATTTAATGCATGTTTTAAACTGTAGTGGCATGAAAATGATAAACCATCGCTTCCTGACTGGAAGGATTTATGGGCTACTGCAGAGGTATAAATAAATAGAGTCAAATCTCATCATAACATCACCCAGGAGAATGCAAGAAATTTGGAGCAAGGACCATGACAGTACATGTCTTCTGGACAGTGTAAAATGAACCTTGTGGACACTGGAAGGTAACAACGAGAAGAATTGATAAAGGAAAGCTCGGGGGGAGCGGGGGGTGAAATATGCTTCCTTTCACACCACGCTGTTGTAGGGAAGGACATCGCTAGGTGGCACCCCACCACCACGGTGGTTTGATAAACTGCCCCCCCCCAGAAAACTACTTTCAGCCCTGTCAATCTTTTCTGGTTTAGAAATGTGTTACAAATGTTAATTACTACATGAAGACACGATGGTTGGGTGAACATGTGTCCATGGGTAAGGTCCTCTGCATATAATTTTTCTCAGTTTACTCAGTTATCATCAATGGGAGATTATCACTAAGGAAAGCAAAATTTGTCAAACAATTTACTAACATTAAAATATAATTTTATATATATTACTACAGATATGATACATACATACCTAACTGCAAGTCTTGTAATTTCCCCAGTGATATGGAAATCCATCACAACCTCACAGCCTCAAACACCAGTGATCCTTCAGACACTGTCCGTGGGCTGATACCCTGTGACGCATCCTGGAAGCCAGTCTGCCTTCCCAGTTACATCACTTTTGCAGTATTAAAAGGAACAACAGCTTACTAAAATACTTCTTTTTTCCAGTGACAAAGAAATACTATGCAGTCCTTGATTACTTAATTATCTGATATTTTTACTGCATCCTTTTTGAACATCCTCTCCTCCTGTTATTCTCCAACTTAATGATAGTTTTATAATGTGAACAGTCATTCAGCTTAAACTGGATTGAGGCTTTCTACTTTGTTCATAAACATCAGCAACAGATCTCAAATAACTGTAACCTTTGATCATGTCTTGCATGAGAGTTGAGCCAATGATCTCAAGAGGAAGAAACATTACCATTTCATAAAAAGTTAAATCATTTTAATTAATAGAAACACCCAAATAAAGAGCTCAGTTCTGAGATGAAAGCTAAAGTTGACAAGCAGTTTGCGTATAATGTACAATTACATGCTCTACATAAAAAATAAAATAGATGACAAATATGGAAAGCAACTAAAATTAAGTCAGTAATCCTGGAACTAAACTGGACTTATCATTCCCCACATGGCTTGAAACTGCCGAAGTTTTCTGTCAGTTTTTCCTCCCAGTTCTGCAAAAAGGATTACAATGGCTTGCCATGCTTGTTAGAAAATTTCTCCCTTTTATCCTTCTCCCAGCCAAACACGGGCATTCTCAAGACTGGAGGAAAAGCAACACTCTGTGGATCCCCATCACCATTACTGCCCACTGCGGGCTCTTACCACCAGTAGCATTATGGCTTATGCTACTAATCTGACCTACAGCTTTGGAGAGTGACAGGGGGGTGAGGGAGGAAACTCTTCCTCCTATGTATTTGGAGGCATAGTCTGCTAGAAGTGACCTCCTCCCATCCTGGTTGCCCAGCATTATTACTCCTTAGAAAGGTTATGAAGGAAAGCCTACAAGGTAACACGAACACACTTGGTGCTGTACAGCACTAGGATCTTCGGTGGATGACTTCCATTACCTGCTTACCAGTTCTGATCCATGGCTGTCTTCCCAATCATGAACATTCGGGTACATTTGAAAATGAGCTTAAAATATGTCTTATGACACGTGTTCATTAGCAGAAACAACTTCCCCCCGTGCTTTCCAACAGCCTTTCAGTTTCAGCAGCAGAATCCAGGCCCTAATCTCTGATTCCTGTTTCCCTGTTATTTTTCACCCTTTTAATTCTCAACCACCAAATCTTCCCTAGCTGAAAATTTTTCTGGCATCTTTCACTACTCAACACTTGAGTCCTCTGGGAGGAAGAGTCTGTTAAAAAAAAATCTTAATACCCGAGGAAGGCTATAGAAATCACAGAGATTTAAGATATTCATAAGGTCAGGTGTAATGGGGTAGATGGAGACACCATATGTGAGCTGTGAGGAGGTAACTCCATCTCCCTGCACGATTCCTTGCACGGTAACTATGAGGTGTGAAATATTCATGGGTAGAGAGGAGTCCCCTGCTCCCTTCTCTCTTTGGTCTGCTCATATTCCTGCTGTGCTGGATCACACTGAGGTGTACCTGCTAGAAAACTGTCCTGCTGCAGTCTCCCTTAGTCTTACACAAACACTTGCAGTCTAAAAGGCCCCAGCAAGGCCTGACTCCAGCAAGATTATCATTCCTGCTTTCTCTGTGTTAAATGTTAATGTGATCCCTCTCTGTGCTCCAGGTTGGCAGCCATCTTCTGTGAAGGGGACAGCTGGAAGCTGTACTAAAACCTGTTTCACTGCTGCCTACCCATGGCCTCTCTATTGTATCCCTATTCCCTCTTTGTAGAGCTTGCAAGATGACCTTTTTATTTACTGCTTGTTATAGTTAAATGAATATTGCTAGTTTTGTAATGGCTTAGAAATACTAGTGGAAAGAATAAAATAATTCCTCTATCTTCTAACATGTCTGAAAACAGCTGAGAAAGATGCCTAGAATTTAACACTCAGGACAAATCTTGATCTTGTCCTGCTCCTGCTGATGGAATCTTAGAGTCCATTTTAGAAATAACATTATTATTATATCTCCTTTCTGCTGCAGTAGCAGTCACATCACAGAGCCACAGATTATGTCCCAGCGTGAGAGGAACTGTGGTACTGTTACTCCACTGGTCACAGCTTCAGGTCCTGGCCAACATCTGAGTAAGGCTAGCGGAGCCTGGCTCATTATCAAATAAATTACTACCTTTAGCAAGATAATGATCTTAAGCCTTCTGCAGTGCAGCAATACTCAAACAATGAATCATGTGCTGGAGCTGTCAGGATATGTGCTTCTAGCTTTCCCTCCTCTTTCAAACTGCTGAACTGCATCAAAAAACCTAATACAAATCAAATTGAATGTGTCTTGGTTTGACTTTTCCATTTACATGTATCGTATTGTTATCATAATTTTATACCATCTTAGGTTGCACAGAAAGTAGATCCTGAATGGGATGGTGGATTTGCAATATAATCTGTTGGGATGCGAGGCTTTCTTTGAAAAATGTTCAGGCCTTATCCCTATATCCCACAGAAATTTTGCAGATGAATGTAAATTATAGTCACTGTAACCTATAGTGATTTGTTTTGTTCAATGCGTGTGTGTGTGTGTGTGTACATATATATATATATATATATATACAAGGCCAGAATCAGTAATTACTACCTTGTCAGGCATTATGCAGCTGATATTTAATAGATATTTTCCTTCGGCTTAGGTGATGAATAGCTGTGATCTTGGAGAAGGAGCTGTGTTCTCTCCTCCTGCTGCTGTTAAGTTCCCAGAGGAAATAAATAATGCACAAAGACAGGCTGAGTCCTGCAGCACAGAAGCAGGGAAATTCCAGCTCTTGCTAGAGATGATTTTCATAGATTATGGCATAATGAGAAAGGAATGTACTAACAACACCCAGGTTGCCAATAAACCTGAGTAAACTTGATTCAGACACTAAGGAAGTAATACCCATATGCACACATTTACAAACACAAACCCTTTGAATAACATTAAAACTGTTACTAATTCAATAAGGACTTCAAGAAATTCAAAGAACGGTCCGACTTAACAGTCCCAGTTATTACTTAGCAGCAAGGTGGCTCCGATGCATAGCTGCACTATTGCATTTACCTGGTGCCTTCTCCATACTGCAGATCGTTAGTGCAATCTGACACACAGATTGTCTCTCACCTCAGCACATGTCCACCACCTGAGCTTAACAAAAATAAAATCAAAGCACAAGTGTGGAGAACATGCAACATGCCATACCAGTGGTAATATAAGACAGTTGTTGCAATGCTGTAAAGAGGAAGGTTGAAATAAAGGGATCTGTAGGTCCCCTAAAATGGATCATAGAATCACAGAATGGTTTGGGTTGGAAGGGACTTTAACGATCATCGAATTCCAGCTTCCTGCCACAGGCAGGGACACCTTCCACCAGACCAGGTTGCTCCAAGCCCTGTCCAACCTGGCCTTGAACACTGCCAGAGGTGGGGCAGCCAGAGCTTCCCTGGGCAACTTCTGCCAGGGACTTACCACCCTCACAGTAAAAAACTTCTTCCTAATACCTCATCTAAATCTACCCTCTTTCAGTTTAAAGCCATTCCACCTTGTCCTATCACTGTTGCTCTTATAAAGCATCCCTCTCCAGATTGCTTGTAGGCTCCCTTTAGGTACTGGAAGGCTGCTCCAAGGTTTCCCTGAAGTCTTCTCCAGGCTGAACAACCCGAACCCTCTCAGCCTGTCTTCACACGAGAGGTGCTCCAGCCCTCTGAGCATTTTTTGCAGCCTTCCTCTGGACTCTCTCCAACAGGTCCACATCTTTCTTGTGTTGGAGCCCCCCGAGCTGGAGACAGGACTGCAGGTAGGGTCTCATAAGGGCAGAGTAGAGGGAGAGAATCATCTCCCATAAGACCTGCTAGATAGAGGTTACTATGCTGTTGCTCAAACCTAGTGCCCTCAAACTTCTTGGGGGAAGTAACAGTTGCTGAGCAAACGAATTTCTCTCTAGATCTGTAAGATGCCCTTTAACTGAAGAATGAAGGCAGTGCTGGAAAACACTTCTTAAAATCCCTAACCATGGCCTTTGTCATTGGTAAGTTAACCCTCTCGTGCCTCAGCCCCCCCCCCCCCTTCCCCCCCGGAAAGTTCTACCACTTCTCTGCCTCGGAAGGCTGATAGCCAGCTTCACAAGTTTCTGCTTGTGCCAACTTTGAGCTCAGCATCCCTCGGATCTTGCTTTGATAGGAACAACGAACGAGGTTACGTGTTTTAGCTGCTTTCCTGACTCTCAGGCACGACCACCAGGAGGTCAGAATACATCCGACAGGCAAAATGAGCGCATTTCCTCTCCATCCCCCGTGCCCTCAGTACAAAACCATCTGGGAAGCTACTGAGGGAGACAGGAGGGACGTGGGGCAGCGAACTGCAGCCTCCCAGGGAATGGATCGGGTGCTAGGGCTGGCTCGGGTGGTTTGAAGGAGGAGAGAAACCACCCAAGAGGAAAGGGAACCCGCTCCGGCCAGGCTGGGCGGGCTCGGCACGGAGCCGAGCGGAGCCTCCGCGGGACGCCCCGACGCCGCCGCTCTGCGCCGAGCTCCGCAGATTACGGCACCCCGGCGGGGCCCAGTAAGTCTCGTTCGGGGCTGGAGGGATCCCGGGCACACAAAGGGAGGGCTCTGGCAGTGTCTGCTGCGGCGGTTTCAGAGAGAAAAGCCGCGGGGCGTCGGGTACGGCGTCCGCTTGCAACAGGTCGCGTTGGCGCGACTGGCCCCGGGTTCTCGTCCCGGAGTAACTTTTGCGTTTTGCGTGCGGTCCTTGAGCAAGTGACGCGTCTCGGCGGGTGTTGGGGCAGCGGGACGGGTCAGTCCCCGGGGCAGACGCCTGCTCCCGCCGGAGTTTGAACAGCGCTGCCGGCTTTCCTCCGGGTCCGGGCAGAAGGATACGGCTCTCAGGGGCACTGTGAGCTGCGGGAGGACTGGCCGCAGCCCCTCAGAGGAGCTGGAGCCCATGGGGAGCCTCTGCGGGACTGAGCCGTGCTAAGAAAAGACCCCGCAGCCGCCTCTATGATGGTGAGGACAGCTCGTGGTGTCCTTCGTTCAGTGGTGATCCCAGGGATGTACAGCCCATGCAGAACGCATCGTGGAGCTTCCCTGTGCCTTCACCTGTGTGTGTTTTGGGCTTGGCACAAAATTTCTTTGCCTTTCTTCTGAGATACAGCGTATGAGTACAGAGACGGAGCGATGGTTTTAGTAGAGGTGCTGTTCATGTGTGTGGGCATCTTTGTGAAGATGGCCAGTACATGTTTGTAGCTCAAATTGGAGTATGGGGTACTGGAAGTCATGGACTGTAAAACTGACACACAGAACCAGAGCCTCTGCATCTTCACTTGGCAATCTCCCACTGAAGCAGGTCTCTTGGGAGAGAGAATTAAAATCCATCAGGAAAACAGGGTTTGTTGCTGTTGGCGTGTTATGTGGTCAGGCAAGATGAGCACCAGCAGCATCTCTAAGCAATTGTTACTGTTAACATGGATTTTTAATGAGTGCTATAGACCTAAACTATACCCAGTGCATCTCCTTCAGGCATGTGTTTGGTGTGAGCTACCAGGCAAGGCTTGAGCTGCCAGGCAAACATCGCTTGGACAAGAGAGCATCTATAGTGTAGTATGGCTTGTTTTGTGAGGTTTTTGAGTTCAGTTTGGTGATGATAATGCTCTTCTGCAGCTCTGACTAAAATGATTCTGCCTACCTTCACAGGCATCTGCTTTTAAAACCATTTTTTTCGTTAATGTACAGGAAATGGAGCATGGAAATTAGGAATGGAAACTTAAAGCCTTCCCTTCAGCCTTGTTTTCAGCACAATAGATGCTTCACGCTGTTCCCACATGGGAAATGTACATATTAAGTAAGATTGCCATAGATGTGAAAGAGATGAGTTGATTTGCCAAAGATTGGAGAGCCAATGTCAGTACTGGGATCAGCCCTGAGGGCTGCTTGGCTCCCGGCTGCTAGGTGACACTTCATCTTTTGCACGACTTTGGTGTGCAGAATGAAGTGATCTGTGTTTGCACAAGCGCATCTGCAAGGAAGAAATTATCTGTGCATACCTAAGATATTGTACCTGTTTATCAAGAGCTCAGCCTGTGGCCCCTCCCCACCTAACTGCCTTCCTCTTTCTGTTGCTTGAAGCATCACAGTATACTAAGAACAGCTTCTTCTGTTTTGGTTTGGTTTGATTTTTTTTTCCCCTACAAGTTAGACTAAATAGCCCTGGTTCGGGAGTGGGGGAATTTGGTTTTCCTTAGTGATTGTTTTGGGATGTCTGATGACTAGGGCCACCAAAGCTGCATGTTCTGCTCTCCTTTTGTTTTCTGTTGGTTCTCTCCATGGCAATAAGGGCTTCCATGTGCCTGTGCTGCACAACGTTCTCAGAGGGATGCCAGTGCTTGTGATCCTCCTTACGTGGTGATGAGTAACAGGGGAAGGGAATCTGACCCACAGAAACTTAACGTTGGTGTTCCATGAGCTGATCCAACTAATTTCTGAGTTTGTTTTTTAAGCAAAACCCATGGTTTTCAAGAGGCCAGCTTTAGGCTGGCTTTTACAACTGTCCAGCTGTCTACCTGCTGACTGTTTATCTACTATCTTGGAGCTTGCCTGCAAGTAAATTAAAGCAGATGGTGTGATATCATGAAATATGCTTAATGAGTTGTATTGTGGGGTGCTTCTCCCCTATTCCGTGCCTGATAGCTTAGATTAGTTTCCTGAGTGCAGTGGGTACACAACAAAAGGGGTGGGTGGTTTATTTTTCCAGTTGTATTGTTTTCTACTGACACATCTGCAAAACAACTGTCCTGGCAAAATCTAAGCTAAACTCATCCTATACTCACACGGTGAACATTAAGAAGCAGTTGTCCTGGGGAGCACTGGTGAAGTATATAAACTCCATGAAGAGTCTGCAAGACTGTCCTATCCTGCACATTCTGCTCTGCAATTGCAATCCATAGCAATGGTGCAATGAAGAAGGGAGCTGAAAAAAAGCTCCTGGCTTGTTCCCTCAGATCCCCTTTAGAATGGACTGTTGGGTGGGCCAGCTTTTTCTCTCCCAAGTGTGATTATAATCCATTTATAGTGAGGAAAAGCAGGTTTGCTGCCAGACAGCATACTTTCCATCAGCAAATGTAATTGCTAGGTAGTGGAGAGAGGTAAAGACTCTGGTTTTCAGGCGGGAGGGAAAGTGGCCAGGGTGTGTGCATCCTTGTGTGCCCAACCATGAATTCCAGGTTTTGCAGGGACATGGGCTCAGCTGTGTAAGCAGAACCTGCCCGTTCACCCTTGGCATGGGTAATAGGAAGGGAGGCAGGTAGCCAGGTCTCAAGCAGCTTTAGGGATGGATCTGGCCAGGGGTGCAGCTGCAACAGGGCTCTTTCTTAAGCTTGTTTAGATTTCCACATCGAGCCAACCTTGTCCGGCAATTCAGCAAAACAAATGGGTCTTATTATCACAACCTAAAAACCAGACTAGCAGCTGAGTATCACTGGAGCAGGGGTGGGTTTGATTTCTGGCGTGGAGAGGAGGGTCTCATGTAGGGCTGACCCACAACAAATACTGTGCTGTGTTGCTTGGGCTGCTTCTGAGGGAGTGAGAGGAGGTTTGTGCCAGTATATGAGGTTGCAGCACAGATGCACAGATGCACCCACTGCTAAGAAAGACCATTCCCTAAGGTTCAGTCAAGGTCTCTCCAACATCTATACCCAGACTTTCTCTTTGGAGATTTAAATATCATTCTAACAAGTGTGAGTACATAACTCCTGCAGCAGCAGATCAAATTCATAGCTCCTTTCCTGCAAGCAGAAGTGCATGCTATATGTAACTGATCCCGAGCCATCATGAGACCGGGCACTGTAGGCTCTGAAGGCTGGCAAACATCCACCGGGATATAGCAGTGCAGATCCAGCCCTTTTGGAACTGGGGTCTCTTGCTCCCATGCTTGGCAGTCTGTGCTGCTGCTGGTAACATCACAGCACTGGTTGAGCAGAGGCACAAGGAGCCCTGCAGCCTGCAAAGTGCAGGGAGGTCAGGGCACAGCCCATTTGGCCTCGCAGTTGAAGACAGAAACAGAGAAGTGAAACTATCCATGAGGTCTGGTGGAGCAGGTATGTGGGAGGAAAGAGCTGATCCATCCCTCCCCAAAGGCTGCCGAAGTGAGGGGTTCAGGACAGCAAGTACACATCCACCTTAAACTAAACCCTTAAAGGACCTGGCTCAGCCCACACTATTCAGGATTTCATCAAGCTTTGGATTAAGGCAGCCAGGGGGTTTGAAGTGGTGATAGAGTTTGGTAATGAGGGCAGCAGATCCCTGCTACCCTGCCCATTTGCGTGCAGCTGGGTAATGTCCTGACTGCCTGCAACCACCTTGTTGGGCCTGTCCTCTCCTGGCTGGAGAACTTTGTTTCCTGTTTCATCTAAAATTGCTTAACTTATATCTGCTGAAATATGGTAGTTTATCTTCTGTGGTTATGTGTTTCACGTCTTCCTGCATGCTCTCAGACTTCCTGCCTCTTCTCCTGTGCTTTTTGTTTCTCATGTTAGCTTTCTAAACCCAGCTCCCCCAGCAAGTATTTCTACCTCGCAAGCTGCTTACAGCAGCTACTTGCCTTTTCTGAGACAAACCAATCCCAGACAAAATTGTCTCAGCCCTAGCATTTATGCAGCTGCTAATTTGACCCTAATCCATTTTAAAAGGAGGGTGCTGGTGGGTGAGGATGGAGTGAGAAGAGGGAGGTCTTTGCTTGCTGGTATGTCTGCAACGCTGACAGACCCATGGTGTGATTTGCAGGCTTTCCCATAGGAGAAGCAGTGGTTTAACTCTACCCTGATCGCTTCAAAGCTGATTATTTCTGGCCTCTTGAACTTTTATGATCATTTTATTAGGTAAGGGAGTGATCTTTTAATCAGTCCCTAATTTAGATAACTGCATTATATACTCATCTTCTGCAGGAACTTCCTCCTCAAACAAACTCTGTGTGTTTTGCAGACTTCCTGGCTGTGTCTCAGTGGTGGGTGACTGAATCTAGTCTTCTCTGCATCACGGTGATAGTAGTAATGTGAAGTTTAATGAGCACCTGCAAATTCGTGTAGCAGGTAAGTGCCTGGGGGTCATTCTTCCTTCCAGATTTGGTGTGATTTTAAAATGATGGGCTCTCACTAGGAGATCTTGAGCCTTGCAGCAGAAATGCCAGAAGGAAAGTGGTGTGGCTCATATTGTAGTAGATGTTCCCAGCAGCAAGGGCCACACAGCATGCAAAGCAAAAGTAGCAATATTGTGACCGTTTAACTTGGAAATGGCTTCTGTTTAGATCAGTGCTAAAAGCCTCTCTTTTGGCATTCAGTTTAAAATCACTTTTATCTGACTGGTTAGAACAGTTGGCATCTAGTCATAGAGAGGGATGGCAGAAGGGAGCCAACAGGTCCAAGCTTTGCTGATAACAGCTACTGCTGCATTTGCTGCTATGCAGGAGAACTTGCCAGGGGTACCTTACCCAGTTGGAAGAATTCTAGTTCCCCCCTCATTCAGGTGTTAGTGGGGGAGCAAAGGCCTGGAGGTATCTGGAGAGCCTCCTGAAGATAAGCAGAGGCAGCCAGGTCAAAGGGAAATAGCAGCTCTTAACAAGCCAGCAATGTGTAGAGTTTTGATGTTTGTATGAAAACCCCTAAAACCCCACTGAAAGCAGAACTGCTGGGTGAAACCCAGACATGGGGCAGTGCTGCTTTGCGAGCATGTGGCAGGAGGCTCTGTGAGCAGCAGTGGTGGGAACAGGAACTGGAGCAGCCAGAGCAGCAGTCCTGGCAGCCACAATGTCCTGCTGCAGCTCTGGGTACCTGTTACTTCATTTACTCCATGTGATTTTTTTTCTCTTTCTCACTTACTCTGGATCTGTGCTGTGTTGGGTGATGTCTATCCCGTTCTTCCCATCCCAGCCAGTTCAAACGCCTGCTCTGCTCTAGCAAAGCTCAGTTCAGCATTCCCTGGCATGCTGCTCCAGCCAGCTCTGATCAAAGCTGTGAGAGCTGGCCCATTGGCATCCTCCTGTGTGTAAATTAATCTCTTTCTCTTTTTCCTTTCCCCTCACTGTCTTTCATTACTACCCTCTTCCAGAGGCAGGTTTTTCTGGCTAATCTAGTACATCATTTATATCAGTGATATTTACCTCAAGGCAGAGGTGCTTTTTCAGCATTTATAGGGAAAATACCTGATGCACCCTATGGCTGTACATGTGGCTTGGAAAAAACAAGCATGGTGTTGGCAACGATGAGGACCATTGGGGCCAACTGTTGCAGAATTTAAGCCCTGTTAGGCAGAGTCTCCAATTCATATGGTTATTTCAGTTGCCTGGCAAAGGAAAACATACTGTTCCTTCACTTTCAAAACCAGGAGGAAGAGCACGTAGAACAGGTCACTTTTCTGCTTGGGCAGAACATTAGCTACAGGGTGTCAGCTGAGCCACCTGCGCAACCAACTGCATCTTCCTCCATGTTGCCTCAAGGGATGGTGGGTGCCGTCAGTTATAAAAATAGAGTTTGTGGCCAAACTCAAATGGAAGTGATGAAAATCAGCTTCAGGGTGCCTTGCTTTCAGTTCTTCCTAATTGCAGAAGATTCAGTGATGCTCAGGGAGCACTTGATGAGGAGTGGGAGCAAATGGTTCCCATGCTGCCTGCAGGGAGGGAAGTAGCTCCCTAGGACAAGATACTGCCTGCATGGGCCAGAATCCCAGCAGGGCTTACAGCTTGTTTTGGAGAAAGCTCATGCGGTGAGAAAGAGACTTTCCTACAGGTAGAGGTAGTTAAGCAGTAGTCTAGACTGCCTTGGGAAGCAGAAATGGAGATTTGCTGGAAGCTTTTCAGAAGTAGGCAAAGACTTGCCAGAAACCACCCGGGCACAGTGTAGGCCATGCACAGAGGCAGAAGGGGGAGACTGTATTGCTTTTAGAGATCTCTTTTTACCCTATTTTTTAAGAGTCTTTTAAATAATATTTGTAGAATATTAATATGTATCAGCGACGGAGCTAAGGAGACATTCTCAAGCTTAAACTGTGAGACTTGATGTTCACAGTCTAGTGCTTCCCAGAGGGACTTGTGGTTATGTACCTGAACCCAAAATGCTTAGATCCTAAGCTGTTTCCTCCTGGATGTTCAGGTACCTAACTGCCACTAGTTTCAGATAAGCGTTTGATTTCTAAAGGCCTCTGGAGATTTAGCAACCAAATATCTTGCGAAGGTTGGATTTTCTGCAGCACAACCACTTCTGCACTCTAGATTGCAACAACTCATTTTAATTGAAGACCCTTATCTTTTTCTCCTAGGCTAGTAGGGGCAAGGATGAGATGGGTGGCTGTCTTTTGGGTAGCTAGAATCCCATCAGCTGAGCCTCCCCTACTGTAACACAGTGACATAAATTATCTGGCTTACTAAGTGACTTAAGGACATAGAGCTTTACTGCAGTCCTACTTAGCGAGCTGGCTATGCTCAGTCTAAGTATTATGGCCACTCTCTTATGCAGCCAAAGTCAAAAGGCAGTCTGAAGGTGCTTGGCTGATGAACATCCTCTTGAGCTGCTTCATGCACTTGGAATGCATGCAGGGTTGTGATCTCAAGCTCTGAAGGAGTAACAGGAAGAAATGTCAACTGAAGTTGCAGGAAGAAATGTCAACATCCTAAGTCATCCACAACACATGCTCTTAGCTCAGCCTTGTATTTGCTGCTAGTCCTGGACACTTCAGTCTCCCATGTGGAGTTGGAAGCTGTCTTTGCTCCTCGCTAAGCTCCTTTCCTGATGCAGTGGAGGGGATTTTTGTGCTATGAGTAGGGGCCCCATAGCTATGACTCACAGTTCCCATTACGTTATAACTTAGCCTTTAAGTGTGCAGAGAGGCTGTCCCTTGGCTTTCAAACAAAGCCTTCCTTTGTTGTGCTGATGTTATAAAGGAGGCAGGCGTATGTGTTCACCCCACACATTCCAAATGAAAAACATGTGGCTTCTCAGCCTTAACATGTGTGTTTGGTACTTTTGCTACAGCAGTGCATGTTACATTGCCCTTATCCCATGGAGTCTTTTCAGAGTTTTTCTTCCCAGCATTCAGTTTAGAAACTCTTCAGGGAAAGAAAAGGTTAAAGATGTTTTCTTTTGCTGCTAAACTGAGGGGACTGAGCAAAGAGCACATGAGAATTATTAAATATGGGTGCATGTGGCAATAGGCTGGTTTCTGGAGTCATTCCTTTGGAAGAAAATGGCTCTGGGTTGGTGGCCACAGGTCACTGAAAGGATGAGCTTCATAGAAATATTGTACGGAAGCGGGCAGTTTGTTTTCTTGTATGGCTTCACTTTTTTCTTCTAATTTTTATTCATTCAACGTCATTTTGAGCAGCAGAGTTAGCCAGCAGTTCAGCAGCCAACATATTTGTGAGTGTGCGTGTGTCTTGGCAGTTCCTAGGTTTATGAGTAGCGAGCCAAGACTGGGCTTATTGCTTCCTTGTTACTTCTGTTCTTTTCTAGAGCCACCAGGTAATGGAGTTAGAGGGCCTGATTCTTCCTGCAGATAGTGGTATGCAGTGCACAGTGCTTCTGCATAGATCAGGGAGTCATCCTATTGAGAGTCAGGGAAACAGGGCATTGTAGCACCACTGCTCTTTCTTGCTCTCTCCTCCTTCCACACCCTCTACACATCGCTGCAGGGGCTTTCACAGTCTGTTTTGGGGTGTTGGGGTTTGTTGTTTTTTTTTTAATTTATTTAGGGAACTATATTGTGTTTTATAAAAAAAGCTGGGATTTCAGGCAATGGGATAAAGAACTGTTTTTCATTTCTGTGGTGATGTTTTGGCTACCATAGCCAGCTTTAAATACTGTTCCTCACAAATGTTTGAATACAACAGCTGTAACTAGTTAGCAAAACAATAGTGCAATATCACACAAGCCTCCAGTCCCATCCAGTGTTTTTGAGCCCTGTTTAAGCAGACAGAATCATAGAATGGTTTGGGTTTGAAAGGACCTTAAGGTCATCTAGTTCCAACCCCCCTGCCATGGGCAGAGATGTCTCACTCTAGACCATGTTGCCCCAGGATCTGTCCAACCTGGCACTGAACACTGCCATGGATGGAGCATCCACAACTTCCTTGGGCAACCCATTCCAGTGCCTCACCACCCTTACAGTAAAGAACTTCTTCCTTATACCTAACCTGAACTTCCCCTGTTTAAGTTTTAACCCATTACCCCTTGTCCTATCACTACAGTCCCTAATGAAGAGTCCCTCTCCAGCATCCTTGTAGGCTCTCTTCTGATACTGGAAGGCTGCTATGAAGTCTCCATGGAGCTTCTCTTCTCAAGGCTGATATTTAGGCCTGCAGGTCTCCTGATATAGGAGCTTGACTTTGTCACTGAGTCAAGACTGATGGAGTAGAAGATGTCAGATCAACCTAATTCATAGCCTTCAATGACAGCTTTTTGCTGTGTTTTTGTTCAGCATCTCAGTGTGGAAGGGTCTGGTAACTGCTGTGCTTTCTATTGTCTGTAATGTATAAGTGCTCCTTGCTACATAACTGAAACGGGACTTCATAGTTTCACATGTAAAACATAATCATTCTGCAAGTCATGTCTGAGCTGTGCCGATATCCACATGTGCTCTTCTTAGATGTGCTGCAGTGGTGTATCCCTGCTGGGAAATCAACTTTCTATTAATGCTTCCACCAACACTTTAATACCGAAGCATTCATTTTGACAGGTGTACAATATTATTATTATTATTATTATTATTAAGTTGGATGTGTAGCAATGCAGGACATATGCCTAGCTTAGGATGAGGAGAGTCAGGGTAACAACTACCTGATTTAACAACACTGGTGTGATTTCCTCCACCTTCTTGAGAATTCCATAGGGAAAAGGAGGGCAGATTTAAACAAACCTCTTGGCAATTGAACCCTCTGTATTCTGACCACCTTTCCCTGAGGTGACTGCCAGATCATAGACTCATAGAATCAGCTAGGCTAGGTTGGAAAAGACCTTTAAGATCATTGAGTCCAACTGTTACCCCTGCACTGCCAAGCCCAGTACTCAACCATGCCACTGAGGGCAAACTGATCTCCCCTCGT